ATGGTACAATCTTTTCAGCTGTTCTTCACGTGTTACAGTTCCTGCTCCAGCTGTCAACTGTTCTTGTTTCAATTTCATGTCCGCTAGTCGTATATTCACTCCTTCCCTTCTATCTACCATTGATTCTTATATCAATCAGTCTCTGATTTCATCTTCCCCCTCCGAACATCTTGTAATCTTCCTATGGCTTGCCTGTTCCTGTCGCCCTCTTCGGTCAGTTCTTTCTTCATTTTTCGAATTCCCTGACAAATAACGTCCACTCCAGACGGTGCACGACGGATTACTTTCGTCTATCCTTCCTCATTTCCGACATTGTGATTTGCTGGATCGTTCTCCTAATCGCAGCCTGGCATTCTGGATTATTTATTCAGAATTTGTTATTGTTTACTTCATTTGATATTGAAAGTCCTGGAAATCGATAATTACACGTGGCTGTTGACGTGAGTGGTGACTGTACCATCCAGGGTTTTTGGTAAGACTGGATAGTTGAAGGAGCAGAATAAGGTTGCATATTTGTTCCTCCAGCATCTCCTAGGCAGCGGAATTTTCAGCAAGGAATTCCACCTGTATTCGTTGGTCTTGATTAAATGATCGACCATTCTGGGCTCGAAGGCTAACCCTTCTGCATTCTCTTTCGTTTTTCTTGTAGTTATTTGTGGTGGTGTGAAAATATATTATTAAGAATTGTTTACGGTTTGATGGGACTCCGGAAATTTCATAACCTATCAATTTGCTGTTCAAGGATAAATTTGAAGATTTTGAAAACGAAAAGAATTACTATTTTTATGCTTCTTTTCTTTTCTGCCGTCTTTATTCACTAATTGAACCTTATTTGTTAGATAAAGCAAACTGAATATTTTCATCTATCCGTTCGTTTTTCGTCAGTGGAGCAGGAAGGCAGGTTTTTTTTTTTTAACAATATGTTTGCTGAATACAGTTCTTTTTCGGATTACCAAATTCATTTTGCTTTCAATGAAATGACTATTCAAAGGGAAAAGTTCATAATGGCGAAATCACATGGAACACACGAAAATATTATCCCTCCAGTTAGTTTAATATATCCCGCTCTGAGCCCTCGATCTAGAAAACCGATTCAGGAAATTTCAAAATTTTGGAATTTTAAACGCTAACAGTTTCCATATATTCTTTTGTGAAATGATATATACACTTTGTAAAAAGATTAACACTGAATCTAAAGAGTAACAAACTTCTCAAAATTGTTTGGAAATCACTTCAGATATTTGCTTGGAATCAGAATGGTAGTTTCATAGTTTTTTTTATTGATCATCGACATACCGAACCATTCCATTAAATAAAAGAAAAAGACGCTTTAATTAGAAGGATACAGTGTCGCACTGTATCCTTCTAATTAAAGCGTCTTTCTCAAGCACTGAAAGTGGATGTTAAACATGTTCACCATTTCAATACACAGCAACATAAGCCTTCCTTTTTATTTATCCAGAAAATCTTTTGTTCATTATAGAAATCAATTTTAAAGGTATCACACTTTTGCAAATTTCCCAGTGTTTAAAATTTACAAAATCTAAAGAAATTTGAATGCAACAAATTTAATACCAGAATTTCAATCATTTTACTTTGATTGTCATACTGTATGGAAGTGATAACTATCTGTCTGGTAACTACCTGCAGCTTTAAAAATTCACTTTTCACACACTTCACTTGAGTTTTTAGATCTAATCCCATCTCATCTGGAAAGGAATCATTTCTGAAATGTGTCATTTTACAATGTTTCTCTCTTACCTTTCAAATTTCGCCTTTAACATAAATTTGCTATGTATTCATCTTTTAAGTTTTTTGTGAAGTTAACAAGATCTTTACATTTTTGAAATTTGTTCGAGATTTATGGGCAAAATTATCTCTATGTTCTTGCAGTTCCTTTGTTATCTATCTTTTACTAGGATACCATAAAAATTCGTCTGTTCCCATGAATTTAAAGCATTTTCTTTCCTAGATTAGCCCTTCTTACTGTTGTCCTGATATGTTCTTAAAAAAATATCGTTACTTTTGTTGGTTGCTAATACTCGCAAAGCGACTGTGTTCCATTCCATAACTTTTTGAAATTACGCCAAAATATGCATTCGTGCATATACGTTGAAGTGAATTCTTCAAGTTTTTGTAGAAGACAATTAGTGAACAGAAGGAATATATATGTGAGAGCTGAGTTGGTTTATTCAACGTAAAATTTTTCACTATAAAGGAAGTAATGTGACTCGCAGCAATGAAGTGATGTTTGGGGCATTTGATGGAAAAAAGTTCAAACGCTATTACGTCGCAAGTAACTTCAAGGCGAGTAGCGTTGCTTTCATGTGGTACGTTTAGTCCACCAACTTATATGCACCTTCGAATGTTTGGTAAGCATTTTATTCTGTTAATTCGCTTGTAAAAAAGGTGTCGTTTAACCAATGGAAATTTTAGCTTATAGGATTTATTTGGAATCTTACTAGCAGATGATTCAGACTAAAGTCGGACATCATCAGGAACAACTATCTTATGTGACATTTGCAAAAAGGGCAATTAGTCCAATCACAATTTAATTTTTATTAAGCTAAAGCTTCACTTAATTATTCTTACTTAAAATATCCCTATAAAGCTACATTTTGTTCAGCTGATTTTATTAGAAAAATTATTGAACAGCAAGCTTATTTGATTGGGAAATAGTTTACTCAATTTCTCTCGAGAGTCTTCTTTGCAGTTTCCTTCAAAAATTCAATAACAATCTTTCTTTATTAGGAAAGATGAAGTGGAAGAAAGAAGGCAGATTTTCTTATTCTGTTGCATGAATAGGTTGAAACTTTCACTCCATTAAAACTGCTGGAGAATCTCTCTGGAACTTGTTATGACTTTCCAAAGAATGCTACAGAACGTGCACGCGACTACCTCAAGAGAATACACGGGTGGGAGGTCGTTGAAGGTATTATGAGTCCAGTAGCGGATAGTCTTGGTCGACCTGATATGGTACCAGCTAAACACAGGCTGAAAATGGTAGAGTTGGCTGTCAAATCGTCATCCTGGATCAAGTTTGCAACTTTCACTCACATCTTGAAATTCGATACTTAAAATCGAATTGATTCTTACAGTTTATATGGAAACTTTCAATTCTCCTTTGCAATGTAGTGGAAATATGCAAAATTTGGTTTGGAAAAGATTTTACAACTTTTGGAAGTTTTTTAAACTTTGATTACAGAGCGGATGGATGGGAGTGTTCACAGGGTGAATGGATAAGGACAATTCATGTCTTACATCATATCAAGGAAGTACTTAATCATAAATACAGCAGTGAAAACTGCAAAGTGCAATTACTACTGCTCTGTGGCGGTGATGTTATCGAAAGCATTACGAAATTGGCCGTTTCCGACGTTATGTTATGGAATACTAAGCAGGTTTACTTGTTTTTCCACTTTTTTAAATGCAAATGATGTCTCTGTCATCAAATAAGTTGAATTTTAACTTTTGAATCTTGAATTTTTCTGATTTTTTTGAATAATTTTTCTGAATTTTTCTGAAAAAAATTTTTTTTTCGAATTTTCCATTTAAAATAAGTCGAATTTTAAGAAATAAAAATTTCTAAAGTTCAGATCGAAGAAGTTGTTCGGGATTTTGGTGTTGTTGTAGTGATGCGAGCAAATACTGATCCTGTCAGCGCCATCTACCTTGCAGATGTCCTCCACACTTACCAAGTATTTATGTTTTCAAGTTTCAAAAGTAGCTAACTTTTCAGCAGATAGAAAATTCTGGTGAAAAATGTAATGTTTCTTTCACTGTTCTTTCAGAAGAATATATTTGTGATTGAAGATGAAACTTGTCCGAATGACATCAGTTCGACACGCCTAAGGTACATATATTTCTTTTCTGTTAGTGCTAATGGTTAATATTTTAGCTTCCAAGAAATTATATATTCTATAGCTTTCATTGAACACTATTCTAATTCTTTTAATTCGCTAAGTCACTTTGGGTGTAATTGCTAGGTTATTTAGAACCCAAATATTAACCACTTCGGTGCTTGAAAAATTAGTTCAGTTTAAAGGCTGTGATACTAATTTCAGAACAGCGATTCGGCGGAAGGAATCAATACGGTACTGCACAAGTGATGAAGTTATTCAGTATATTGAGGATAATTCTCTGTATGGAGCGACATCACTACCAACTATGTAAACATTGAATCTGTAATAAAATATGGAAAAGAAAAAGAAATAATAAATATGGGAAAAAAAACGACGCAGATATCTTGAGAGATAGACGGTTCTATCAGATTCATTTCCTGGATTAGATGGGATGAGTGCGGATAGTATTGTTATAACCGTCGTTTTACAAATATTTTGAAAAACCAGGCTTCATAAGAAACCCAAAGAATTTCAAAACTTCTAATGAGGAACTAGGAATGAAGATTTAATAGCCAAATATCCAGCTATCTTATAAGAAAAAGAAAAACGAAAAAATGTATGCATCTTTTCGTATAGTGAAAGCCATATAGTTTTCTTGCAATACCAATTTCAAGATAGTGAAAAATTCAATGCCTCTGAAGGCGATCAACTGTTGATATATCTTTATCAATATTGATGATTAAAAGGAAAGATTCCAGCGTAAGCATTATCCAAGACTAATTAAAAGCTATTCTAATGCGAGATTTTCAGTTCACATGCATTTTTTTGGCTTGTATCAATACTTTTCCACGGTTTTAATTTGTTTAATTTCAGGCGAGTGAAACTGCAGAATGTATGTAAATCGGCCAGTTTATCGAATATATCGACAGGCAGTACCAATGAATCCCATGGAAACTGTTTGAAACATCCGAAACTTAGCCTTTTGCCGTTAAAGCAAACAGTTGTGGCCACTAAAGAAGATGACCACAAAGCACTTCATGCCCCTTCAGCAAAGGTTGTTAACAATTTATTTTTTAAGCTTTTGAACCGATGATTCGAATTCTATATCAAATTCAAAATTGACTTATATGCATTTCACTCATTTGATTGATACTGAGTGCCAGAACTGGCGTTATAGTTCAAAAGAAAAATTCCTTTTCAATATTCTGAAAATTGCACCAAAAGCGGGAAAAATGGAATGAAACTTTACAAGCCGAATTATATGTCATTCTTTATCGGATCTCTGTCTTTGGGGAAATTTAAGGTGATAGAGTCAAAAATTTATATAATTATTTGATCACTTGAAGAAATTCACTGTTCATGTTCTATGATTCGGCTTTTCTCAGGTATTGAGTAATCCTTCGATCGTTTCAAGGTTTTCCTTTTCAATTTTTAATCTGAAAAGGATAAAAAACAATCAATCAAGGTTTTCCTTTTAATTTTTAATTTAAAAAGGATAAGAAGCAGTCAACTATCTTGGAGTCAAGCCCGATTTGGTATCCCTCAGGTTCTCTTCCTGGTTGCGGAAAAGTTGCTAGCGCCACTCAATCACTGTCATATTTCCAAAAAACTTCGCCACTTTTAGCACAAGATAAACAGTGTTCAACTGAAGCTAACAACGATACAATGGCATGTTTAAATATCACTTCTTCCTATTATTGTTTAAATACAGATTATTTAATTCAGATGATAACATGCAGATGAGTGTTAAGGATTCTTGTAGCTTTAGTGGATTCAGTCGCTTCTAGTTCTAAATTTTTTACTGATCGTTTACTGCAGATGCCAAAACAATCCAAACACGCACATTTTCGGTCGTCGGCATCTCCAGATTATCATGATTTTACTTTGAATAAGCCGTTAGCTGCAAGCACTGATTGGGCTGATTACCTTTGTGTCAAAAAAGGTTATGTTTCAAATTTATCGAACTCTATTCAACCTGGAATTTATTCTTATTTTTGTTTTCACAGCCGTAGGAATTTTAAAAATCCCAGTGCAAAATTATGACAAATCGTGGTGATTAAAAGTGATTTCATTAAAAAAATATTTGGTTGTGACAAGTGTTGACTCTTATATAATCTTTCATCCGTATCCTCGAACGTGTATGTTGGATTTTTGTTGTATATCAATAATCGTTTAAAATTGTGCGTGAATGATATCAATATTGAGTTGGTCATGTATATCTTCTTCATTTGTATCTATTCCTGCGTTTTTGCTATTTTCCAGATTAGCGCATTTCACAATTCTCTCGGATCTACAAATGAAAGATTTCTTAAGCATTCTATATGTGACGAACTGAATTTTTAAATTTTAACTAGGAAATTGGCCTACTCTCTAATGAGGCTCTAATTCCCTTCTTCTGTGTGAAAATTTTTAACTACTTTCCGTTGTCCGATATCATCCGAACAATTATTTAGTGCCTATCTACACCAGGGTAAAAGTGTATTTGCAAAAATTTGAATTGGGCTTTCAAATCTATTGTTTATTGGGAATGCAAATTGAAAATTATCGCCCAATGGATTTGAACATGAAATTTTCTGACAAAATTTTCAAACATAACTTTTTCAATAAAGAGCAAAGTAACAGTCAAAATTCTTTTCAGACGAACTCTTTGGGTGCGCAGAAGATGTGGAGAGATTGACGACATCCCAAATTGTGTGCCAAGAGCAAGCTGATTTTCAATTGAAGATGTTCGGACCATTGCAGGTAAACAATTCGAAATTTCTACTCTTCGTCCTCACATATTAAATTTTCATACTCTAAGACGGATAACGGCAATGACAAATAAATTGCGGGAAATATTCAAAATAAGGTGTGCTAATGCATTTTATACCTCAGAACTTTATCACAGAGTTCAGAAGATTTTAACTTTTAATAATTGAAGCGAAAGAACTATGGAATGGAAATTAAGCAACGCTCGATAAATGCAGTTTCACATAGCGTTGGAAATTTGGCAACCGAACTCTCGTTAGAGAAAGTAGACAAAAGTCGTTCCTTATCTCATATACGATCTGAAGAAGAGAATGAAGATAGTAATAATGTGACACTTATTTATAGAAAGTACAAGTTGTCTTCAACTCCTGAAACTACCGTATAGTTTTTTTTTCGATTATTTATTGAATGATTTTAATGCATTTCACTTGATTCCGGAACTTTCGAGAAAACTTATTCTAACTGTGTTAAAAGATTCCCAAGTTTCAGAAGTGATATATATGATTTTTTACCAGAATGATGCACTGAATCTACGTAATGTCTTTCATGAATATACATGATATGTGCAACTTTGTCACAATAATGCGATAATGTGGATTTACACCTGCACAAAATAAAATTTTTTTGTTGAGTGATGTTTTGAAATTCATATTGAATAACTTTTATTGATAATCCAATTGATTGACTTTTATTGACAATCGTAATCCAATTATAAACTTTTCACAAACAAAATTTACTGCATTTATTGGTATGGTAACATACTTTGTGAACATGATTATATGATTGCTATGTCATGTAAGTTTTACGAAATGGTCAGTTATTTAGAAGGCACTTCCATCTATTGTGATTGAATAACCATTTACTTACTGTTACTGTTGCAATCGTATTTTCCCATTTTTCGCATGTTCAGTTACCTGCAAATTTCCGGTTCGTTACTTATTCAAGGAATTGTTAAATTAGAAGTGTGAACGGACTTGAATAGAATTAATCCTTCCAAGTAACAGTTTCCGATTATTCTTTCATTAATATATATGATAATGATACTTCGAATTTGGAAAACGGATGAGCTAAATTGCAAATGGGTGGTAGGCATCGTAATTGGTGCTTATTTCCACCGCTCCATATGGCGATTTACCTTATAGATTGATAATTTGTTAGAGAAAGCCTGCTATTTATTCGCAAACATTTTTCCTCGCTTACCTGATAATGCTTTTGATGCATTCACAAGTGATTGTGATAGAGGCGGTAAGTTGATATTTATTTCCATCGCACTGTTTGACGTAGGAGTGGTCTTAGACTGGTAATTTTTCAAGGAAAGCTTGCTATTTACACTCTGAAACATCTTTTCTCCGCTCTAGAATTTCCAAAATAATATTTCGAAGTTCTTTTTCCGAAGGATGAGATGAAGTGTTCAGCAGCAGATTTCATGAAAAGAGCCTACTTTTAACATTCCAGTGTCCACAGTTGAACATAAGACTAAACGTTAAAGAGATTTTAATAAATGCTCTCTTATTCTCTACGACTTTGAATTTCTCGTTTTTGACTTATCCGATTTCCTTCAAGTCACTCGGATTGATTAGTAATTACAGAGTCAGTACCAACAATATGTAGACCTAAAATCATAACATCTAGAGACGGTTCAGATTGATTCTCCATTTTAAAAGGAATAGAAGGGTCGGTAACTACTAGGACACTTCCACTAAAAAATGATAAACCATCAAAAGAGCCAGAAAAGTAAACCAAAAAGACAAAGCATTAACACGAGGGAAGGTTATTTCAGAAACACCCATTATTACAACAATATCCAATCACTAAAACCCCTAATTAAAGCAGATATCATCATTTAAAAAGTTACTGAAATACTATGCATAATTAAAACAGATTTATAAACCTCACAATTACCAAAAAACAAATAACCACCACTAGTGCTGATAACTCAAGACGAATAATTTATAGACAAAACAAAACCACCTACGCCAATCCAATAACCCAAAATAGTACGATAAATGTAGTAGTTTTATGATTAACTGTATGAATAATGCTTTACTTTAGCACACTAACAAAAATCCACGAAAACTGCAGCTATTATATTTCTTGACCAGACAGTCCTGGTAAAAACGAGTAAACTGGTAAGTGTAAATTCTATAATAAATTGCAAAAATCAAGATTTTAGAAAGAGGGCTCCAGAGAAATCAGGGATTCATGTTGTCCAAAAGAACTTATTATCTTACTATTTGATTGTACAAGGAATTTATTAGTTTGCTGGTCATTCCGGACTGATATCCTGTCAAGCTTCGACCAGGTATTGGCTTCCATTTATTGTTTTATACTAACAGGTTGTTTTATCGCCTCTGTCCTCTTCAAGGGAGCAATATAGATATCTAGAAAATGTCTTTAAAGTTCTATTGTTATCGATATAGATTATTTGAATATTTCCTCTAATACTAACATGTAACAGTGGTAATGATGATTTTGAACTTCTCATTGGTGATGAAGTTTTGTCTTGAGACTTTTGCACATATCGCTGTGCGTACAACAAAAACTTCTGCTTAGCCTGTAAATATACTTTTAATAGCGAAGGAATGGAATTTCCGTCAACGCTGTAAGGCTTATATCATTCATTTGCGTTCTTCGTGAAGTCGGATGACAAGTTTGTACCTAGGAACTATTAGCTGGATATATCACTTGGAAAGTTATCCACCAATCCTGTATATCACATCATCCTAAATTTTAACCTATAAATGCGCAATATATCAAGAAAAAAGTTTTACTGTTACCTTATAAACACTACTGTATATATTCCAATTATTAAACGGTGGTGCAAACATCAAATTGGAAGAAACTTGGTCGCGCAATCGTTTCACCAAACGTAAACGTCCCTTCTTCAGCATCCTGGAAAATAAATAATGATGAGGAACCTGATAATAATGACTGCTGAATAAAATTACCGAACAGTAAATTTGCATTTATTGACTTTTTTTTGCACGGCAACCAAGACTCCTTCCACTTCCAATGCGATACTATCGGTATTCATCGCGATAATTCATGTAATTCTAGAGTATTCAGCTCTTTCGAATTCCCGGAATTTCTCTGTTTTTTACAATCTTATTCTCAGTCTTATTCGTCTTTCAAGTGAAGGAAGTGTAATTCGTATTTTAATCAACAAAAATCAGTTTTCTAGAAAGGCAATCTCACAATATTTTCACATTCAAAAGCTTAAAAGAAGTGAAATGGATGAATTGAGAAAAAAACGTTACATTGAAAACATGTATCGTTCATTTTTCCTCGCCAAACTCTCTGCAGTATAACCCATAAGATTTTTGGTACGAAAAGCTTCGATACACCATTTCCTGGACAGTTCTTCTACCAGGAAGTTTAACAGGGATGACTGAGAGTACATTGCAGCATACATCAGTACTGTATTACCCATTTTATCAGCTGCCGTAAGATTCACATTTTGCTGAAAGAAATGAGTCTTAATTTCTTAATATAATCCAGACAAAGCATACCCATTATCAAAACATTGAAATGAGGCCTGGAATAAATGAACAATGAAGGTTAAGGAAGCAAGGAAGTTTCCCAGCCGTTGAAAGCAAGTAAGCAAGTTGAATGACATTAATTCTACGTAAAGTAACTCGAATTGCTTTCCTAGCATAGAAATAAGTCAAACAAATTGAAGTGGTCAAACCAAGATCAAATGATGAGCAACGGTATCGTTTCTCATCAAACAAGCTAACATCAGCGGTGTACGTAACTGCCTTTCATCTGGTTCGGAAGGATCGCATCCGGAACGAATTAACAAGTTTATATAACGCACCTGTAAATTTGTCATTAACTTTATTTTATGGACATTTCCAATTACTGTTCGACTGATTTTACACGCATGAATTTCTCTGATAAATAACACAAACCTGATTTGCCTTATCTAGTTCATATCTTATCACTGACATGATAAGGGTTTCTCCACGAATATTCTTCTCTTTGACATTGAAGTCCACAAAGCTTTTTTCCAGTTTCTGCGGCAAATATTCATATTCCGTCCTCTAAAACGAATTCCTTGATTATGCATTCATAATACAGGGAACTTATTCCTCTTTCTACAATGATTTTTCACAGTTCAGGTATATGAAAGATAGAAGAAAACTCAAAAAGTGTAAAAATTATATGGGAAGGTTGAATGAATCAAATTTGCTGCGATATGATGAACTACAAGAAGACAAAAAATCTTTTTTAAAATTGAATAATTTAAAAACGAAACAAACGTGATTGAAAACACTTTTAGTACGCAAATTATCCAGTCTTGCATGAAGCCATCGTTCGCATGCCATATGAGCAAAGGGTTTGTTGTGAGACGGTGTCGAATCCATGATACTTTCTGATAGATTTACAGAGGGATTCTGGATGTTTGAGTAAATGATATCCATCGAGTAACTTTGTTTACGCAATATCTGAATCTCATAGGGAAAACCATCCTTTCTAACAGCGTTCCATAAAGTCAATTAAATTCTCTAATTTTTTTGTTAGGAATTTTTTTCAATAGTTTTTTTTCTTTGGTCTTTAACACAGTTTTTTTTATTAGCGATGATAATTATCAAGACGATCCATTCTAGGAATACAAAAAACCTACGAATGAATAAAAATTACGCCAACTTTTCATATTTTGTTACTCGAAAAAAAATTAGAAGTTTATTTCTCAACTATATCAATTGCTTGTATTGGAAATCTATCCTGCAACCGTCGTTTTCCAAATTAGATTCATAACGCAAGCATCAAACCAGTTAATTATTTCCTTTCCTTAGCACTTTGCTTCCTTATCTGTTGTTGTCTCACCTGTATCTGTCCATCTATATATGCTACTTTTTCATTTAGGCATACCTTGCCATCATCGTCTGCCTAAATAATGGTTTGCGTCAATGTTTCGTGAAATATTTTCTGAAATTCTCCCAATAGTATGGATCAAAAGTTTTGAATATGGGTGTGAATTTGTTAAATTTCGAAGTGAAAAATTATTTTGCTATGACAATTTCCCCACAAAACTTTTTTTGTTTGGATTCAAGTAGTAAAAACTACTAACTTATCAGTTTTATTGCTTGGAAAATGTATTAAAAAGCTTAGTACATGAAGAATTTTCATTGGAAAACTTGTTTGAGAATTGAATTTTCTCATTTAATGCCAAGAATTTCCAAAAGGGATTTTTCATTTCTACTAATCGTTACAAACTCATTTATTATTCCCTCAATTACTCATAATATATTAAAATTATGAATTAAAGGAAAAAATCTCAACTACTCTTTTTGGAAGGCATATATTTTGCTTTGGAGATATGCAGAAATTCTTTTAAAATAATGCTGGTGTTTCTAAGATCATAATTTGGCATCTTATCATCCACAGAGCTCTATCATCAAGGCAATTAAGTCAATTAACGGAAATTTTCAATACGACACATGTAATTCTTCGCGCAAAAAGGATGAAACTGTCAGTTTTTCATTCCAAAGTTTTCCCATGTAATCTTATAACTATTTACCTTACGAGAACGGATCTAACAGGAGTTATAATATTGTTTTATGAGAGCAAGAACTGCGGCAAAAAGTTTATTTTAGACTTACTAATAGCAAAACTTAATCACTAGTTTTAGAGTTGGAGAAAATTGGGCATTACAGAAACAAACAGCTGACAAAAAAAGCAACGAAAATTAAACTTTTTAGAATAAAGGAAAAAGAAAAGTTTTAGATTCATGTAAATTATATGTGGAAAATTGGTGAGCTGCAAAGTTTGTAGCAAGCAAATAGAATTGCTGTATTCTACCCTTTTGATGAGATTCCTTCAAAGCGTATCTACGTTATATTATTACCTAAAAGCAAATAAACATTATAAGTTTTTGAATTTTTTTCTGAGAGAAATGAAAACAAGAATTTTTGAAGTAACGAAAAAGCTACCGCTGAAGTAAATTCATAGGAAATGGGCGGTAACCATTAGATGCTTGAAGCTTAATGTACTTTGCCAATAATAAAGAAAAACACATGCTGGCTAATTTTTTTCCAATCACATTTATGCAAACAAGTCTTTTTCCGAGCTTATGCAGCTACATCATCAACTTATTCATTTAATATCGAAATTTGCCAGGGGAAATGAGCTAAAAAGGGCGCTGTGCTCTCAGCAACGATTTGTTGTTAAATCCAAGATAAATCGCATCGCTCGGTTCAGGGTCGAACATTATGTGTCATGAGAGTTGCTGTATCGTGGACTAAAATTTGACATGTATGCAAACTAATTGACAAAAAAGAACTTTCCCAGTTTACGAACAACCCATTCTTCTGAAAAATTCGCATTATAAAAAAGTTATTTATTTGAACAAAACTCAAAATAAAAACTTGAATTTTTTTTGCCTTAGAAAAAAACATCAGCAAGATGATAAGGAGGATTCTTTTCTTTTGCCTGTAAACGTTATAGTGATGATGAATTTCGTTTTGCTTTTTGAAAATTATGGTTAAGTGAAGTACCTGAACAAACTCCACAAATAATAAATCACGCAGAGTTTACGCAGTCGTAGTCCGGAAGGGAATTTTCTTCCAAATGGCAATGCTATAGGATTTTTTGCTTTTATTTAATGAAGTTCATTTGGTAAAATTGATCAAAAAAAATTTTGAAACTATCAAATCTGAAAAATGTAATAAGTACTGAGGGATCTGGATAAACTGTATTCACTTTACTATCGTAATATGGAACATATCATAATGTGGAAAGGGAAGCACATTTCAGCTGACTAATCAGCCAGTAAAAAATTCTTTAATATAATGTTTTCTATGCATTGCTGTTTATTGATTCATATTTAAGCCTACATAACGAATTGATTTTCATGTATTCGAGTACAAATTATAGAATTCTCCAGGATTTTTGGAGAATTCTATAATTTGTACTCGAGATTTAAATTTGGTCATTTTGCAATTTTCCTACATTACCTGCAAACATTGAACAGCGTTGGTACTGGTCACTCAGTGTGACGCAACTCTATGAAATAAAATTAGCAAAGTAACGTACAAAATATTTGAATGGGGAATTAAAATTAATAACTGGAGCAAGTAACAGTGAAGGAGGGTGTCTTTTTATTTGATACGCAATATATTGTTCTATGAAAATAATTAATTTGGAGAAGACATTAAAATGTAAGGAAATTTGCAGTATAAAGTACAACTGATCTTTGTGATTACATTTGGTGTGAAGATATAGCTTAACTTCGTTGCAAATAATTACGAGAAGCATTCCACTTTTTAGTTTACATATTTTTTCCTCTCACTCAACAAATATTGATTTTCGGGCCTTATATGTTACCTTTCACCTTCTTAAATCAATTTTGACAACAAATAATTAATTATGCGAATACAAAAATGCACACAACCATCTTATATAATTGTTCAGATTTAAGTCATTATTTTCCTTAAATCTACTAAATCAACATTTAAATTAATTCATTTATTTCACTAGTGTTAAATCGTTATAGTTCTTAAGATTTAAAGTTGTAAAAAGATTTATGAAGCAAACAAAATATGCGTGGTACTTGATGGATATTGGGTAATATACTACCTATTTCCTTGGCAACCGTAATCCAATCTTTTTCTATCACTGAATTATTCTTTCAATATAATTGGAATGTTCCAGAGCCTACTTCTAAAAAACACGCTATACCTGAAAACAGGGTATTCTGTTTAGAGAAATTATGGAAAGGTACAGTAAGTTAGCGATCGTATTTTTCGCTTGAAGAGAAACAAAATCAATGATTTAACAGCGATAAGAATGACGGATTTGAAAAGTTGCATGAATTCAGATCATCTAATTGATAATGTGAATGACGAGTTCTTTGTATTTCGGAAATGATTACGAATTAGAGATGGAAAAATTATTTAAAGATTTTAAATTACACTGCAAATTCAACAGTTATATTACTACAACTAATGATTGTGGTAATATGCCATATAACTGTGGAATTTGCAGTAATATAACTAAAGTTATTTATGGAAGTATTCACACGTAATTTGGAAAACTATAAAGAAATTTACAAGCACAATTTAGCAAAGCTCAAAATAGAGATACTCAAATTACAAATTTTACAATGATTAAAATCTCTAAACAATTTTTCAGTAAAAAGAAATAATAAACCCTTATAACCGAAGCAAAATGCATAGTAATGGATTGCAGCAATCTGCACAAAAAGTTTATTTTTTGTGTTTTCTGAGGAACGGAAAAAGGGATGTCTGAAAATAGGAAATGGATTGATTTTCCAATTTACCGGTATCGCATTAACTCTTCAAAAGGTCCCTGTAATATTTTCTGCGATTGTGCGACAATCTTGAACTGTAAGTTTACAGCGGACCATTGTATTGGTATGATTGAACTGAAAAGCTGCTGGCCTGTTGGGAATGGGTGCCACTAGTAGGCATGTGCATGGTAGAGGAGCAGTATCCTTGAGAGTGTAACTTGAACTTATCATCTTTTGACATTAGATTCGTGGTGTTTGTAGTATTGGCTGCGTAAAATGGCGGCTGAGCGGGGGCAAAGCGAGACAAGGTCGTCGTGTTGTTGGATGTCGTTGGAGTCATCAATTGAGGGAAAGTATGTTGCAGAGGTCCCTGTAAATTAAAACTTGGATTTTAAAAATAAGTAAATCAAGAAAAACAATGTGGAACTTACGGCTACAGATCCTAAAGAAATAGAAGACGCCGTAAGTCGATCTAATGTGCCAAGAAAGAAATGCATCGAATTTTTTTAAAAATCAGTTTGAAACTCATTTTGACTTACTTATGTAGCTGCTATTTGAGCAGTCCTTTTTTAAAAGCAGAAACTAGTAAATTTAAAAGCAGAAACTAGTAAATTAATAAGAATTACCTGCGCTTTTAAAGCCCAACCAAAGGCGGTGTTCGGATTTCTTGTAGAATAACCTTGCCAAGATGAAGAGCCATAAACATCATCAAGCTGCAATAAAATTTGAGCGCTTAAAAGGCAGACTTTTTAAATAAATTTTTGATTAACTAAAATAAGAATTCCTTACGACGCGAGTGAATTGAATATATTTTTGGTCAAATCAATATAAAAACGCTGTTACTTGTGGATGGGTTGGTAAAAGGGCTTGCGGGAAACAACTGGTTGGTTGAAAGCTCTTGAAATCAGGAGTTAACAAATGACGCTCCCGTTTACGCCATTTTGCTCGTCTGTTTTTAAACCATACCTTTAAAAGAACAGTGGATCTATTTTAATGAGCTACTTAATAATTCAATTAAAATTGGGACTTATCCAGGAATACGAATAGTATTTAAATTGTTTGGATTTACTGGATAAGCTTTAAAAGACAGTTAAGAAATGAATATGCTAAGCAGTGATGAACATTGGCCATGCAGAAGTAAATCAAGAGAGTTAAAAAAGGTACAATTTAGTCGTCGTAAAGTTTTAATTTTGTTTAAAATTAATTAAGCATAATCTTTTCAGAAATCTGATCCATTTCACAATACTAATGTAAGCATTCAGATGATGATAATGATCTATTATCCTATTGCAGGACATCATATAAAAGCGGCAATTGATGGCGATGCTTCGAAATATCAATAAAGACAATGCTCATTCATCTGTACTCTAAAATTGAACACTACGATTAGACTTCCCAAATATTAGTTACCGTAGGCTTTGAAAGACTCTTGGTTGTTTGCAAACTATTTGTTCGCATTTTTTTAAATTTGCAATTATTTGAAAATATGCCCGTTATCAGGACTCCGAACATCGAATCACGACTTTATTTCAAGATAACACGTTGTGTGGGAATATTTGTCAGGCATTCACTTTCGGAATACGAAAAACTAAACTGCAAGTAAGCAACAAGCTTAATTTGAACAACAATAAGTTCTTTGTCTTAATTTGGTTGTTGACAATGAGGGAGCAGAATGGTAAGAAAGCGCAGGAAAATCAAATTCTTAATTAAATTTCAGTTGTTATTGGGGTGTTTCTCGATAACAGTGGTGTTGACGATACGACAATACAATATGCTAATAACTATGATAATATTTGTGGTAATAATTATGCAATGATGAGAGTTGTGATAGTGATAATGATGTTAACGATGATGATGAGGATCCTGATAATGATGACTACTGAATGATGTTGATGATGCATTGATAGTGAGTTAGCTTAATCAGCAAAGAAGACAGCGGTCTGCGGTCACTTGGGATTTCAATTCATTAGAAGTGACACAAATTACACATTTCAATTATAGGGTTTGGGAACTACTACATCTCAAAATTCTAAGGTAGACAATGTTTCGATTGAAACTAATTTAACGCAGTCACAAGTCCTCATTCAAAAAATGGAAAAAAAATATATAAAATGCAAAATAAAGTTTAAAAATTATCAAAAATCACATCTCTGCTTCTATTAAAAAATGGCGACCGTAGTTGTTTAATCATGAACTATACAAAAATTTTTTTTGGGAACGTACACGAACTCGTGGCTCCGTAAGGCTGATCCACAATGCAATTTCTTCTCTCGTGGCCATATCTGGGTAACGATTCCGTGAAAACCAATTTTCCAACTCTGTTAGCTGCAGGAGAATTATTAGGATTATTAAACAATATGAGAGAATATTCCGAAAAACGGTAGGAGAGATACTATTCATAAGATGCAACAATTTCAAAATATTATGTAATTAATAATCCCTAACATTTCATTTATATATTTCAATTTGATATTTCATTTCAAACAGGTGCCATGTATTTCTCAGATATAATATATTTCGTCGATTTCATATTTATGAGTTGATGGGAATAACAGAAAGCAAGAAGAATTTTGGGGGTCATGAATTTACCTGTTGACTTGTAAAATGGGTACGTTGTCTACGTGGTTTTTGGCTGCTGATCAAACAAGTATCTGGTGATGCATTCGAATTTCCATCACATTCAATACTTCCCGATGATTCATCATAATCTTTTTTTCCCATTTTCTACTACAAATGTTACTTTTTTAAGCAACTAAATGAGAATAATTTCAAATTTACCAAGAAGGTTAGGAAAAGGTATCAACGGACCATTGAAAGGAATAATACTTGTGCGTCCGTACGTCTGATAATTTTTTTTTTTTGAGTCAGCAAAAAAACTAATGCAGATTTTATAATCAGAGGATAAAGATGATCTAATAGTTGAAGAGGACAATTTCTTTTTATGCTTTTGGCTTACCAAATCAGTTTGCAGTAATATCGGCAGTGACCGATTCTAGAATTTTCTTTTAAATGGAAGGCAAGCTTTAAAATCGTAATCCTTTATCTGAATTTCATTAATTCCTGAATCCAGAACAGACTCATAATTGCAAAAACGAATTGAAGTGGACGCTGCCCTATATTTGGACATTGCTGAACTACTACGTCACGGTACAAAATTTTTTTACGTATTAACAGGAAAAAACTCTGCATTTAAAAATCCTTTGATCAGAATTCTTGAAAAACAATGGTATTTAATAAAAACTATCAAGACTAACAATCGAAATTAGTAGAAATTTTTGAAACCCGAAGTTTCAAGTAAAAAGCCTGCAAACTAAGATTTAATGAAACACCCCAATATTAAATTTATTAATGATAAAACCCCTGATATTAAATAATATCATGGAATGTGCTTGAATGCAAACCATTTTCCAACATTTTGTTAGAAATTGAAAAGCTTTGTGACAATTTTCAGGTTGGTGATAATCATGATGATAAGACGCCTCAATTTCAATAATAGAACGCAGAACCTCTTCCAAGTACTTGCACTGATTTTAGTGCTAATAATTAATATGAGACAAATGAATATTTTAAGGATGAATTTAGCTAAGTAAATTTATTAAAAAATATGTGTGGCAAAATGCTTATTTTATAATCCTTCAAATCCAGATATTTTGGAATAAACTCTAAATTAGTAATAAAACATACTTTTCGGTAATTTTCCTGCAATGTTATTCAGAGCAATAGCACTTTGGTCAACAGCGCCAACATTTGGTAATCGATAGATATCATGCTGAGCGGTGGAGAAAATGCTGGATGAGGAGCTAGATGGTGGTGGACAGATAGTACTGGTTACTGTTAGGGTACCACTGCTAGCAAGAGTACTCGATGAGGTGCTATCAAACAGTAAAGTTGTAGCTATTGTACTACTTACAGAGTTAGCAGTAACGTTTGCAGTTGCAGTTGGGACAATAGTTGAAGCGTCCAATATAGAGGGAACGACGTCACCCCTAATCAAATGTCCGGGGAAGCTCGGAAGATTGTGAGGCTGTTGTTGTTGTTCCAAATGACTTGCTTCTAAATCCATGACCAAAGAAAAGTTGTCGGGGTGTTTCCTGGATTACATTTTAAAATACATAAGACTTAGTGCCAGTAACAAATTCACCCTAATTTAATTCTTCTGCAGCACATATGGTTACCGTAAAGAAATCTCTGAACAGGACAACTGTATTTCACCGCAGAGTCCTTCTGAATCCTGGCGGATTAGCCCTAACAATGAACTACGCCACTACGATGATCCCACCAATCCAGAACGACTTTACTACTCTCTTATACACATGCAAACTAACCGAACTAGGGGTTGGACCTTCTCATTTTGGTCAAATTACCCCTATGGATTACTTTGGAGCGTCTTCCAAGGTACGGTAGCTTCAACCACTCCTCCTCATCATTCCAATCTACTCACCAATAATGCCCTTCCATGAATTTTTGCTAAAATCTTTGTTCGAGAAATTTAGATATAATTTCAATTTTAATTCCTCGCCAACCTTTAATTTTAATTTAGTTTTTACATCTCTGCATTTCCATTTATTGATAATTCCTTTGAAAAGAAGGGCGAGAAATTTATACCCAATTATTCTTTTGGAGTGCTCAAGACGTTTTCCTACATCTAGATAATATTACCACAAGTACTACCAGCAAACAACCATTGCGAAATTCAGAATCAATTACAATGCTGGAAAGCTATTTTCTCGACAACTTAAGTTGCAGTATGATGACGTCGCATGTGGTTCATGGCTTTACACCGCAATCACAAAAAGTCACTTTGCTTTTTAATTTTTATTCTCTAGTCTCAAAAAATTTCATGGATAGAATCGCAATAAATCTGACCATAATTAGATCTGATTACGGTATGAATTGTGTTGTTCAAAGAATAAACAAATTACTTCATCTGCTGGCCAGGCAATCGTCAACTTGAATTCCAAATTATAAACATCCTTGCTTCAGTCCAAATTCCTGTTGCTCCTCTCCACAGATATAGGAAGAAGAGGTCAATGAGTTCACCAAACAGACGACTCAAATTAGCTCAAATTTCTGCCTATTTTCATATGACAAAACGGACCCTCAGGTCGGAATTTGATGGAAATAGTATTGAATACAGCCAACTTTTTTTTTATTTCATTAGGGACGTAGTTACTGCACTTTTCAAAATGGATAAAAATAACTGATTTTAGCAGTGTCAACAACGAGCATAAAACAACTCTCATATTTTAGCATGTCACTCACTAACAGTCACTTGATCTAAGAATTCTAACTTCCAATAGTATTTGTTCAAAATGTCAAAGCACTAATTCTCAAAACAGTTATATCGTCATTCTCTTTCTCAGTGAGAAATTATGCCTAGTAAATCACCTATTTATTCATAGCTAAACACTACTGTCATGCTGAAATAGAAAATAATCAGATTCATTTTTCTTCCTTTTTTTTTTTTTTTTTTGTTGAGGCGATCGAATATTTCACGATATCGAGGGTCGAATATCAAGAAGATACAGATCCTCTCGACTGAAATTTAGTCTACGTGATATAGGGAATTTTCGAATGACCATGCAGTCAGCACCGTCCGAATAAGGCACACAATCCAAGATGCTGATAGAAGCCAGCTTGTGGATGACATATGGTTGCGGTATTTAGTCTTTGTCAAACACGGAAGGCACGGCTAAGCTATCAAGCTATCAACTGTCACCTCGTGCACCAAATGTTCACTATATGGACATTGCGCAATAAGGGTAACACAACTTTACCGCACCCACATTTACGGAGCTATTGAACCGTTAACCATTACTAAAACCATCAATCTTGCCACCCCAACTGAATTTTCAAAATGACCGCTCATCTTCTCCCCACCACTTGTCTTCTGTTTCTCCGGAAAACAGACACCTAACCTTTAAAACTTATAGTTTAACATCCAAAAATCTCACAAAACCAGCAATTGCTCTAAACAAAAGTCTTTAAGAACTCAGCTTTGGTAAATAGTTCTGACTGTTCAACTCACTATAGCAAGATTTGTTTCCAAGTGTTGTTTCCTGCCCATAATATTCCTTTTATGCGATTCAAAAACCAATGAATAAAACAAACTGCTGGCAATCAGTAAACTACTATTTATGTCTGAAATTGCTACTACGATAATAGTAACAAATATAGGAATTCTGAAAGACAATAACAAGTTTCAAAAAGTATGAATAAATAACATAAACTGCAATAAACTTTGGGATCTGACAAAAGAACACTAAGATTGAACTGAGATTGAAGCAAAATTAGTAGACATCTATCTTAAAAGTATAACATTTGTAAACTACTGGAGAAAATAATGCTTCAAACAGAATGAAAGGAAAAAAAGTGCGTTCAGAAAAAAGTTAAAAAATCAATATCACTCACAACTGCCAGAAATTTAACGGAAACTATTGCCTTATTATCAAACCAGCTGTAGTGATCTTGCTCACTTTAGGAACATTGCGAATTGTCAAAGATACCCTGAAAAAGTAAATAATCATTGTCCAACTATTTTAGGGCAACGTGTCCTCTCCTGACATTTACGTCAAATACGAACCTACACGGCAGCACTGAAAAAAGTCCACGATGCTTGTTCCGAATATTATCTAATCAAAAGCAAAAATCTAAACCTGAGGTCACGAGTCACGACTTTTCCGATACGCTTGTTGGTACTTTCAAGGTTAAAAATATCACTTGTGATAACATCAAACGTTCGATCCGCAATTTCATGCAAATATTTTGTATATGCATCATCACTAACAAGGATTAAGCTACGTCGCTCAAGTAATACAGAACCAACATAACGTTTTTGCTTGACATTATTTCGCTGCAAAATTCATATCTTCCATTTAAAGTTTTCCTGACCATGTCAAACTTTGAATTAGTAAGATTTAAAGACGAAGTTTAGAAGAACCTTGACAGAGGTATAAGAAAATAAATCGAACCTCTGGATCTATAGGTTTATAATAATCAATAATTGTGTCACTACCTAACGAAATTGTAGTAACCATAGGATAGAAAGCAGGACCATCCGTGTGTGCCTAAAAGATGAAACGATGTAATGCAAGCAGTACTTAACCAAATCCAACAGCGACAAAATCTGTATTCGGAATTAGACATTTCAAAATGTTGACAAATATATTAAAAACAAACTAGAAGCAAACCATGATGCCTTGTCCAGGAAGATATTCGTTAATCAACACGTGATTTGGACGCCTATTGGGAGGAAATGTATCACCAAGTGTCATTAGCTTGTCGATAACGGAGTTAAGCCACTAGGAAAGTTTGCAAAAGATTTAGTATTTTTACCACGTTGAATAAACATGACATAATCTACTTGACCCAGTATGAAAGTATTTCCACCTACCGGAATCTTTGGTACAGTTAATATCGGAGAATGCCCAGAGACAATCCACCACATGTGCAAGGAATTTTTTTTTAAACCGCAGTCTAATACACCAACAATTCCAATAAATGCACTGAAATGTACCGAAGGAATAGCGCCATCCGGAATCAGAACTTCCTTGCTTACAATGCCACCCCAATTCTGTAGGCGTCTGTTCAGAAGTTGCTGCCATTTCGGTTTCGGAACTGAATATACTTTGGAAAGAAGAAACTTTTCTTCTTCCTCAGTGATAAAATTTGGAATATATCGAATAGTTGGTGGTGCCTAAACAGTTTCTTGTAAAAAAAAAGAGGAAAAAATAGTCCGATAAAAAACAGCTAAAGGATTAAACAAGCTATAATGAAACAATTCCATACAATACTTACTTTTTTAACCACAAATCTGTTGGAGGATGAACTGCTCCACATACACGTTACGTTATTACAACGATGTTTTGCATCACGTTTTTCTAGGTTGGTTTCTTGATTACAACAGCAGAATGTTTCTACTCCACCCATCTTAATCTCCAGAATAAGTAGCACTGAATTCAGCAGCAGCTCCTTTTTAGGAACAATACGAAGTCCCAAATATCCCACTTCACACTCTAACTGATTCTACATTCCATCATCAGTAAGGAATTTCATTCAAGAATACTTCCAAAATTCTTTCTCAACAGAAACTTGTGGAAAACAGTCACCTGAGCGATTAGACAACCAACACTAATTCTTGTCTTGATTCTATTTTTACCACATACCATACGAAATCAATGAAAAAAGAAGTAATCTTTAACTTTAAATAAAGAAGGCAACTAATACAGCATAAACCATAGCCTCTGTTACCCATTAAATGGGAAACAATAAATACGGTATGTTTCCGATGCTTCAAGACTTATATGTCTAAATAGATGGTTAATATAGGTAAAGAAAACATGAGGTGAAAAAGCGCTACTTACGACATATACTGCTGAAAAACAACAAAGTAATTTGAATATTGATTCAAAACATTTAATGAGTATACATAAAAAGTGAGCAAAACTGTGAACCGGTAACTACTTTACCGCCGACGAAGAAATGCTGACTTTTTGATTACGGTTATTATCAAATAAACGAACATTTTTCAGTCGCAATTGAAGTGCGTAAACACAGATAAGACCTGATTATAAGGCGTTAAAAATTTCACTGACAATAACTCGAGAGAAATGAGTGTAGCAAATTCAACAATGTGAGTATGGCAAATTCAGTCTTGACTTTTTAACTGAATACATCAAATCAAAAATGAAATTAGCACCATGAGAAGGCTGCAATTCATAGCGAGATGACAAAGATGGTAAATCCCAGTTAATATTCAAATCCTGATTATTTCCTGTTTAATTTAATATTAATTGAACAAAAATCGGGAAAAAAAGGACGGCTTATATGAATTAAAGAAAACACACAATACTACAGCTTGAGATTCATTTTAACAATGATAATCTAGAGGAAAAGTCATCAGCGATGTTCTCAAACTATATAATACAAGCAAAACAGCTACACAAATATAATATCGGCATTAAAAATCAAACGCCTGGACGACAATCCATATACTAAGAACAGAAAATTCGGCAGGATGACTGAATGATTTAAACGTAATTCAATATTTCTACAAGTAAAGCTATTTCTACATTTACAGGTCTAAATTTCGTACTTTTAAATGTACCAAGCATTCAAAAAGTGTTATCTGAATGATTTTATTGTAATTCAAGAATTCCACGTCACCAAATGATTGTGAATGGAATTACAAACCGGCTAACTGCAGGACTTGTTCACAAACTTTTTTATACAGAAAAGCATCGCCATTAAGACGTTTCCGTTTAACGCCTACCAACTTCTCCTTATTACCCATTTCAATCCAAACCACCTCTAATTCTACTGTCATCATCCGGTTGAATTCATCTTTTCTTCGACCAGATATTTTCCAGCTGCAATGAAGATAAAAAATACTAAAAAAAGAATTATACTATACTAGTTATTCTAAATTGAAAGAGAAAAACGACCTAGAAAACATCTACGCTAACTCAATTGCACTCTAGAATCGATATCACCTACGCTCATGATATAAATCAAATTCAATACCCATGATGTTCGGTTGTAATGTTTTGTTCAGCGAAAACGCGCATCAGTTCGCGACGTACACGGTCCGGATTCTTAGAAGATGTAATCGACACATTGACCATTGTCTGAAAAATCTTATTTCATGCAATGTACTGAGAGTTAAAATCGAAATTCTAAACAAACAATAATTGCATAATATGAACTGCATTTCAGGATAAGAGGAAACGGAAAGTAAAGCAATGTTATAACAACAGTGAATTAATTTGGACTGCATGACATTTGAACTAAGAGTAAGTGTGGAGATAACAAACCTTGGTTTGCTTCAGCATTTCAGGTTGATTATTTTTAACTTTGCGAGGTGTCAGCAAATTGATCATTTTATCAGCTTGCCGTTCTAGTGATGCGAAAACTCGCTGGCGAAGACGCGGTGTCTTAGATGATGATCGTGGAATATGTGTTGGGTATGCTGTATTATCTCGTACAGGAGTATGTGGTGAAGTTTCACCACGCTCCATCGATCGTGACCTGGAAATGACACTACCTGGTGAACATATCAACACCTAGAAAAACTAATTGGACATAAGTTAGCTTTGAAACTGACACGAACCTCATCTTCGTAGAAGGTGTACAAGAGGGAGGAAGTCGCAAAGGTGTTGCATAAAGATTGCTCCTTGGGCGATCATCGCAAATCTGTAAAGAGTTCTATTGCTAACGATAATCAAGTCGGAAAACACATACATTGAGCTTGATAGCTTTATTATTCGGAGTGTGCTCTGAAAACAAATCTTAAAACTGAAATCTGCTGGCTCAGATATCCGTTCTGAATGTCAACATCGCACTTTTTTCAAGATTGTTGCGAATCATCATCACTGCCAACTTATCCTGAACATTTTAGAACTCCATCCTGTATTATTTCTGGGTCCTAAAATGACCCAAAAACAATATAAGGTCTGAATTCTACGATGACATAGAGAAATGCTGCCAACAAAGTTTTAGGAAGAAGCAGTGTCTTCCATTCAGTAAAAATTAGGATAGAACAGAAAATACGACAGAAAATGTTTTCCTTAGCTACTATATTTATCCCTACCCTCCTCTCCTTCTTTTTTTTATTGAGAGATGTGTTTCGTACATGAAGTTTCCATCCTTGATAAGAACAATAATCAGCAGCTAACTGCACTGTTTTGTGAATAGTTTTCATTAAAAAAAAAGGGAAGTAGTAAGAAAAATTAAAATGAAATAATTTACTACCATATATTGGATCTACCCTTTCTTGATTTCAAAGTAATACCAAATTCTTCCGGAAGTCGAAATTCTATTAAAAAATGGTTTTCTTACCTTACTTACGGTGGAATTTAAACCAAATATTACCTTTATCGGCCCACACACTCTTGTGGTGGCTGGATTCCAGTTTTCTTTGTTGTTTGCACGGTAATAAAAACGAGAATCAAAACCAATACCACACTAGAATATTTATGGATTATGATTTAATGTTTAGAGCACAATATGATTTAATGTTTAGCTCTAAAATCATTTTAGAATGAAATCATGAGTTTCCGTATTTTCACCAAACCTAGAACTTACTTGAGGTTTGGTTCGATGTCGTGCTGGCGTATCACAAACTGATTGAGCACTAGCAAAGTCGTTTTCCTGCCGAATGCCACAGGCAGCACGCTGCTTGGGTGAGCTTCCCGAGTGGGTGGAAGGCATATTAAGCATCGCGTAAGCATAAGATAAATTCTGAATTGGAAAGCCAACGTGAGTAAAAAAACCTACATGAGCAAAAATTCGGTGACACTGTTTTCTGAATTGATTTAAAAACCGTGAAAACCCTAGCCAGAAATTATGCAAAAATAGAAAAAAAGAAAAACTTTGTCGTGTTGAGTTCCTGCTAGAGAGATGGGATTGTCTCCCTCAAACGAGTTCCTAATGCCATGCATCTTTGATGTAGATCCATCTGTTTCTGATGTCATCGAATCATTCTCGTCCAAGCCAGAATTATTTAAATCGTTATCTAGTGAAGAATGTATTGTTTGAGAACTCAAAACAATTTGCTTTGGATTGGCCTAAAAAATTTTCAGAAAATTGCTTGTTGTGAGAGTTCTAATAAATCCTAAGAAAAGGAAAAGAAAATTGAATCTCTTTTTATACCAAGTACCAATGAAACAAACCAAGGATTAAGTTTGCAACAGGAAATCAAACTTTACCATACCGTTCCATCCCTAGGCTTCAGTACTGGCAAGACGAAATTCATTCCACGTCTCTTTTGTTGTAACAACAAACGATAAGTAGCAGTTAGATAGTCAAATTTCCACTAAAATATCAAGCTGACGTTAGTGCCAGGCTATCAATAAACTGTTAAGAAATAGTAAAAATGGGAAAAAATTACCTATAAAAGTAGGTTGGACCTAAAAATTACCTCCTTAACAAGAGCTTCCATCTCGCTAAATGGTCGTCCAAAATGGGAAGCAAGCTCTATGACCACTTCGTCATCGACGATATTTTTCTGCAATCATACTTTACATCAGATTTAAAGCAGAAACGTATGCCATAATCACAACTTATTTTTTGAAATATCTGAAATGCTAACATCATATATAGATTTCCATTTCAGTGTCTGAGTGTATTTTTTATTGATCCACGGATGGACGATCAGTTTAGAAATAGTGATGCGCTTCTCAGGCTCTACTTGCAATAAGGACCTCAGCAAATCTCTACTTGTAGGGCTCAGATAGTCTGGTTCATAATATCTTCCAGTCTGAAGTAAAAAACATTGAAAATATTGCAACAATTTGTACATCAAAAACATCTAACACAGACTGAAGCATTTTCTTATTTTATTGATTGAAAACAGAACACGGGTAATAACTAACCGCAATCTTCATGTACAACTTTTGGACACTGTCATCCTCAAATGGTAAGCAGCCACAAAGCAGTGTATAAAGCAGAACGCCCATCGACCATATGTCAACTTGATGACCTTTATATGGTAACCCCTGTAATGGTTTCTGTGTAATTCAAAATTTTACTATAAAATAAATTTAATACTTGAAAAAAAACTGATGAGTAAATTACATGTTACCTGAATAAGTTCAGGAGCAGCATAGGCAGGTGAGCCACAACATGTATGTAAAAAATCACACAATCCAAGCTCCGGTTTGGCGCAAAGACCAAAATCAATGAGTTTCAATTGCAAATCTTCAGTTAGTAACAGATTTTCCTAAAAAGAAAACACTTGCAATATGAATCTGCTGATCATCGATTTCGCTTTCACGGAAAACGATTTCGTTTTCACTCCTTCAAAATTAGAGAAAAATGCACAAGTAATTATTTTCAAAACCACAACTAACGGGCTTCAAATCTCTATGGGCAAATCCCATGCTGTGAACATACGCAATAGCTTGAACAAGCTGGCGAAAAAAGTGACGTGCTTCGGATTCTTCCAACCGTTCCTTTTTAACAATATAATCGAACATTTCACCACCACTACAATACTGAAATGGAATTCACTATCCAGAAACAAGAGTTCATCGGAAATCTAACTTTAGCCTTAAGCATGAAATCACAAAAGTTTGAAAAATTGCATATTACAAGTAACAGATGCAATAGCAAACCTCCATAACAATAAAAAATTTCAACGGTGTGTCAATACATTGGTACAGTCTGCATATGTTTTGGTGTGATAACAGCATCAACGCGTCCAACTCAGTCCTTACTCGAGGTAGGTCCTCCTTCTAAACAAATAACTTTAAAATTCGGCTGAAAAGTTGAACAAATTATACTTCCTAAACCCGTTCGAAATGATTTCGTTTGGATTCTTTACAATTTATTGCTGTTATTGCTACCATTAAAATTAATAGAGCTCATATCATGCAATGTTTTTTAACTAGCAGTAACAGATTGAATGGCAAAAATCGTTGCATGTGGGACTCTCTAAAGAGGCTCACGCTACCAATCACCTCAACGTACTCCTATTCCACTCGATGGGCTTTATGTGCTTTTAAACGGACGAGAATAAGAGAGTCTTCCACGCATCATGAAACCGCTAAGATATGCATCCTCTCATGACCAGATAAGACTGAGAAGTACGCAATCGAATATTTCGGTCAGTTTTATGCGGGAGTCATAATCATGAATAAATATAAACTATGTTTCATATAATGAGTCTTTTCATTAGCATTCATTTGCTTGTTCTTTAGGAAAACAGTAATTTTAAATAATCTGTAAAAATCACGAAAATTAAAAATTCAAACCTTGATTTTGAGCTTATCTATGATCTTAATCGCAACTTTCTGTGAAGTCAGTAAATGTGTTGCCAAGCGTACTTTGCCAAAACCACCGGAACCCAGTTCGTCATGCAAAACATACAAGCCATCCAGAGCTGCGTATGGTGATGCAGCGTACGGTGACAACAATTCGCTAACCCCTTTAGTACCCGAATTATAAGAAACTACTGACATCTGCAAATTTAATCGTTATATACACAAATAATATGCGCAGACAGTGGAGATTTCCCGCCGTGTATCGTGGACCTCAAATGTGGTACGGTGTAGCTACGAAGACGAACAACAAGTATTAAGAGAACATAGGATAATGCAAAAAATTAAATTTCTAAATCACTTCAAGAATCAGTCCAGATCCTTGAGAGCGGTAACACACAGTTAACTAACTACAAATACATAAGCACGATTGATTAGCACAAAGATGATAACTTCAACAGAGTTGTGCGGCAGACTGTATCGTGTTGGTGTGAAATATGTAAATGGAATAATCAAAAACCGACACATTAAACAATAATGTTCAATTTTGCATAAATGCAAATTATATTACAGAAGTTTATGCTGAATGTCTCGAGAATATGCAAATTACATTTTAAAACATACAGCCATATTTTGTGGAAATGTGACAAAAAAAAATCTGATGCAAATATCTAGTCCATTGCAGCACATCTCCTAACAGAAACCCAACGTGACAGTCGCTTGTGTGACATCCGCTCACATGCAATTCTCATCAGGCATCCACTCCCGTCAGACGAACCACCTGTCATTCACTTACGCAACCTTCGAACTGACGTCCCACCACATGAATCATTTGAAATTTGCTGCAGATTTTGAAGGTTTGGACGAAAGCCAAGGACGTTGCTGCAGCGTTGTATTAACAAGAAGGGAAGCCGACTCTCAGGTCGCGTCGATTAGACTGAGGTTCTGCTTCATCATTTCAATTAGCCCATCCATTGTTAAAACCTTGTAGAATTTCGTTAAAAGACATCGAAAAACTTCGGTCCACCACTGTCATCAAATCTAAGCAAATTAATTGAAGAGGTACTGTAAGTCGTTTAGTAGTCTGTAAGTATTTAGTAGTCTATAAGTCGGGAAACTTTATCTTCAAACTTCGCATTTTGCTCAAAGACACGAATGGTTGTCAGATTTTTATCTTTTGAGGTCGAGATACGACATAACTGGTGAAATTTTTCATTTTGAAATGTCGTTGAAAAGAAGACTACTAAATTCCATATCGAACGCGTTCTCCCGACCAGAACTGGATTTCGATTTTTTGTTGAATGAAAAGAATCTGGACCTAATTAAAGAAAATATACGGTGTCGTAAAGGTATTGGTGATATCGATGCGGTCCATAGATTGTGGAAGCAAATCCAAGATTATTCAGGAAAGCCGAAACAGTCCGAGCAGGAATATCAATCGTTATGGGATAAAGTAAGTGTTTGTTTTCTTTTGAAAAGTATTAAGCTACTTACAAATGTTTCCAAGTTTGAATGGACTTTATTTTACCAAATAAAAAAAGAGGTGGATTTCCAGCTTTACAAAGAAGCCATGCTTATACCGAATTTGTGCCACCCAAGCGTTGCAAAGGGTAACTTTTTGAATGCGCATGTTATACGATTTTTTGGTGAGAAACGAAAAGACGATAATTTGGAAACTGCCGAAACTATTGCAAAAGCTTGGAAGGCTCTATATAATCCCTTGAATGCATGTGGTGAACGAAGTTATGCATTTATCGGTACTTTTTTTTTCAAATTTCCACGATTATTTGGAAATTATGAATTTCGAACAATATGTATGACTGTAGCCTTAAACGTTTTTTAGGCCCTTTGGCGGATATGGAGCTTGCTTTACTTGATTACGTTTCATCGGTCCTGGAACAGAAAGGTTTCCTCCCGATCGTTGTACCGGACATAGTTCATGAGAGTATTCCTGAAGGATGTGGATTGCAGCAGAGATCGGAGAAAGATATTTTGTATCGGTTGAGAGACTACAGCGATTTCTGTTTGTCGGGTACATCAGGTTGGTAATTGTCATTTTGTAAAACATTACATTTTTAGTTGGATTTAAATCGAAATGAAATCTAAAAATATTTTGATGGTTCTGCAACTTGGTTCCGTTAAGATCTGTCACTGCAGAATTCAAGAAACTCTCAATGGATGAAATCATTAGATTCTTCATTAGTTGACTTAGTTGTTGTAAGATAGTGTAGTAATTTCATGACCATTTATCTGGATAAAAGTTCCATACATTTAAATTAATTTATCTGGGGAAAGGAACTCATGGTTGCGTTAGTATTCGAAAAACAGCTGAGATCTCCTTGCTTTCAAACAGATGGAATTTTGTATTTGGAGAAATGGGACTCAGCAGTTTGGTAAGCGGACGGGTTTTTGGATATGATGAATTACCTCTTAAGCTGAAAGCTTTAAGTAGATGTTTTCGGCCAGAAATTGCGACAAATGCTGCTGAAAGTAAATTGTACAGAGTCCACGAATTCAATAAGGTCCTTCTTTATTTTCTTTTTTTTTTTTCTGTTAAAAGCTTTTTCCATGAAAAGAAGAATATCATGGGACGCAACGTACTAATAGGAGGGTTGCAAGAATATGATCTGGGTTTGAAAATGTTTGTTTTCTCCCTATAGTGCTACAATCTTAGTTGTAACTTCCAGAAAATAAGTTTCATTCTTTAGTAGACCTCTGGCTAACGATGAATTTAATAGAATAATTTAATGTTTGAGCTCATTAAGGAGGTTTCGATCTGTTCTGCATGCAGTTGGATTCATCATTGCAAAACACCTTGGGTTACATAACAAGAATCTTACAAATTCTTTTGATAGAATTTCAGGTCGAAATGTTTGTTATTTGCAATGAAAATGAGAGTGACCTGCAGCTTGATGAACTGGTCGAAGTACAGACTTCGATTTTTTCAAGCTTAGGACTACATTGCAGGTCTGCATTGATATTGATATAATGTACTGGTTGTTATAGTTATAAACTTATTGGATCATCAATTTTCTAGACTTTTGGATATGCCCTCGGAAGAATTAGGTGCTTCAGCTGCTCGCAAATTCGATATCGAAGCTTGGATGCCAGGAAGAAAGATGTTTGGCGAAGTGTCAAGTGCTTCAAACTGCACCGATTACCAAGCAAGACGACTAAGTTTGTATTCTTTCGTCACGTTTACATTTTCTCAAAATGTAAATATCACTATTTGTGTTCTGTGGCATTACTTTTGTCCCTAATTTTATAATTTGGAAAATATTTGCGAAATATTCCCCTACAATACTGCTTCAGGTATTAAATATCGTGATTCGAATGGTGTGGAAAAATTCGCTCATACTTGTAACGCTACGGCAGTTGCAACCACAAGAACACTTATTGCTTTGTTAGAAACCTACCAAGATGTGATTTTTTTCAGTGTGTTTTTTCCAATTTCCCGTTTCCATCGTTGTGTTTTGCAGGTTTGCATTTCTTTAAAATAATTTTAGGAAAGGAAACGTTTGCTGGCGTTACCAGACGATATTCTACAAAGGATGCCCAAAACGAGATCTTGGACTATCAGCTTACATAAGGCTGTAGATATAAATACCAGTCGTAGTACTTCGTGATTACTTTTATAAAACAAAATTACTAATATGGGAACCCTAACATTAAAATTACGAGTTCACTTATGAAAAATAGTAAATCTAACGAAAAACATGAATACTCTGTAACGCAGTATTTTCCACACCAATTAAAAATTCCTTCATCCGCCTCAAATACCTTAGGAATAGTAGCAGGCGTGGCGGAACTGGTCTCAACCTTCGCTCCTAGGTTCATTTGCTAGGTCCTAGCAAGCGTACGGTGACAGCGAAGTCCTCAGGTCATAGGTTTAATTATAATATCAAGATGAATGGCCTTGCAAGGCTAAACGAATTCCATCCGCTTGGATTTGGAGTTAGAGTTATCCTTCTTCTTATGAAGGTTGCGTGAAAGCTAGGGAGCCTATCCTCCCCGTGGACATACTGTGTCTGACCCTTCAATTGAGACCTGTCTGGCATGAGATACATATGTCATCGCCAGCATAGCTCGCAACCTCATAAGGGCACGTCAGGCTTCTCTACTAAGGGAGTGTCAAGGAAGAAGCATGCTAATGCACTTTTAATAAACATTTCATATAGAATTGTACAATTTACACATTTCCCACATTCGGGCTCTAGTTAAAATGCTACTGTAATTTAAGGCATAACTTTTCCAAGATGAAGCTGACACGGTGAAACCAAATTTTCTTTAACACTGGATTATTTATTACAAAATATTGGAGATAAAATGTAGAAAGACATGAAACAAAACTGACAGGATTGCAAAAGGTCAATGCCATATACGATCAGATCGAGCAGATCTTTCCATTCCATTCTTCCCAAAGATTACCTGAAGGACTGAGCATTTGTTTCTGCACGAGTCTTTGCATGAATTCATCTACATTGTAGAAATTCTCATATTTCGCAAATTGTTTATTAAATCTATCAAATCATCTCATCATGATCTAACGTTCTGAACTGCTTGTAGGATAAGCAGAAATCTATAGTTTTGCTTCTTTTGGAGAGCTTATTGTTTTCTAGAGAGAAGAAATACATTTCGGATGCCATTTTGGGTCTTTTGCGCATTTCAGTTACCAGTTAGCGATATTTCTAGTTGTAAGATTCAGCAATACTGAAGATTATCAAGTGTCGTTAAAATAATTTGTACCGCTATTTTAATTTTCACAAAGAGAACATTCACGAAGCGAAATGTAAAAGCAATGAAAAGATTGGATATGTAAAGTTGAAATTAGTCACTTACTTGAAATTATAAGAACGCATGGACAGATGACAGTAAGGAATTATAATACATCCTCTTGTATATACTTGGATATTTGCACCGGCGCACTCCCAAAATGGGTGTTTTGGACGAGAACGAGAACAAAGATACTTTTTCCAAAGCATCCCACTTAATTCAACCGCTGGATAAAGTTCTGAGTTTCACGGGTTATCGCAACAGTTACAATCCACGATATTTCGCCATTAATAGACCGCTGTCATTCTCGCAAAGCGTATAAGAATTTCTCTGAACAAATCAGTGCAAAGCGTATTTATGTATCATGAAATTACATTTCCCAATCGCGCTCCGTAGTTTAAAACTTTCCAGATTGAAGCATCTCAAATTATTGAAATCTTCTGTTTACTTGGTTAAAAAAAGGAATAAAAATACCACTAAAAGTTATGTGTATTGATGAGTTAAATATGTTGGCAATACATGTTCCTTTTATTTTAAAAACATGAATGACCGGATCTCAAAAATGTAGGGGCGATCTGGAGCAAAATATGTTGGTGCCAGGAAAATAATTAGATGTGGAGAGCAATGAAGCGTGCACAAAAATGTGAATACTTTTAACAGGCATATAGCTACATAACAAAAAATGCAGAAGCAAAAAATCTTGTCGGTGGGAACTCGTACAAGACGACGAAATACGTGATTATACCGTTTCATCCTCATCACTGAGGCCAAACAGCACAGCTTGTCGCTCGATATTTTCATTTAGTTTAGATTTATTGGTATCGTACTTATCAACCATTTCCTGTAAATAAGGAACATGAGAAATAGACGGCTACTTACCAACAAAAGAAACCAAAATGCAAGTTCAAGAATTCAATCCCAGACCCAGTAAAAACGAAAAATTAGGCCATTCATTTAGACTGAAAGGATTTGATCCATCTTAAATTCGAAATTCAGTTTTTTTGTGAATAGGCTCCTGAAAGAAACACTGCCAGAAATAGAGAACTAACTTTTCGTTTGATCATTGTATATATAGCTGAACCACCGAGAACAATCACATTACTTATCCACCAAAGCAGTGATTTCATCTCCTGCCACCATACAACTGCAATAACAGTTTGCGCTGCCGCTTTCGCCGTACCACTAATATTATGTGTTAAAGATGATGTTACCTAAATAATGAAATTATAAAAAAGAAATTCCAGCCAGATAAAAATGATAAATTACTGGTTCTTTGTGAGAGGCAGCAAACAACTACCTGAATCTGCCATCCAGTAACATAGCTCATTAAAAAACCAAAAATACCAGATAATGTCATCAAAGTCCAGAATCGTAAGGAAGAAGAATAACGGAAATAAAACACTTCACTAATGTCACCACTAAACAACATGACGGGTATGAATAACACTAATGCATTTATATTGTTGTACCTGAAAATACGAAGAGTTTCAAGAATTTCGAAATCTCGAACTAATTGAAATCCATCATTTATATAATTCATTGTGATTCGTCATAGTTACCATTGGTTGGCCATTCAAAGAAAAAAATTTTGACTTGATGTTTGGTCATTTAATCTCTCAGTGATTTATTTAGCTTACAAAGTGAGCTGCGTAATACTATCGCCAACCGATGGAAGAGTCCGCTGTGTATAAATGGCATTCAGGGCAACAAACATTGACGCTGCTACACCAAATATGACACCAGTGACCGATAAAGTTCCTAGAAAAGTTCGCGGAAGAAAAAACTGAGCTGCAAAGTAACCATTTTGAAAGCCAAAAATCATTCTTGAGGAGAGAAAATGTGCACCAAAACCTTCTTAGTTGAAAATAAATATAAATGTACCAGTAGCATCTTCCTGATCCACGCCGAGAACAAAACCACCAATGATTAATGCACAGCATAGAATTGTTTTCAGTGATGTTAGCTGTCCCAAAATGATATAAGAACATATCTAAATTGAACATGAAACTGACTAAAGGTTTGGCATCAATTATAATTCAAAAGCCCATCAAAAATGCCATCCCACCATAGTCAAGAATAAAGTTCTGATCCTGATCCAAAGCTCGTCCTACAGTATTTTAACTTCAAGCAGTTATTATTTTCTTTGCAACTCTTCCCACTTTCCTAACTTAAAATGAATATTCTTCTGTATAACATATATTTCGGGAGCAATATCAGTCATATTTCAAATCTCACCACATTGAAAACGGTAGTAAGCGACCTCCCAATGTAATAAAATGAGACACCGACATACTTCAAGCAAAGATTATTTGTAGCTATCATTGCAACAAATACAAATGAGAGCGGTAATACCTAAAAAAGAGCGTTAAAAAATACAGCGGAGGTATAAAGGAAAGATCAACTTTCTGAGCAATTTGAAATACAGAATAGATCCTAGTGCTTCCTGATTCTTATCTAGATGCTGTTAATGATACAATAATAGTCCTAAAAATTGAATGAAAAAAATTAATGCCATAAACATATGAAATTAAAAAATATACATACCTCTCTCGATATCCGGTGATCAAAACCCACGAATGGAAATGTAACCAATGACGGATATTGTTTAGAAACCCAACAAAAAACACAACACAGCAACACTGTCACAAAACATTGATACCATGTTACAAACAACGGTGCATTGAGCTGTAAATTTAGAACATTCGTAATACAGTTCAAAACATTAAATTTTAAAAACGACTACACAGTGGCACTAACCGAATGCATTCAACTTTCATCTCTAGTATCGAACATAAAATGTAATGTTTTGTTTCCAAATTATAACGAGGCTCCTTCTATAACTACAAGAAGCATTTACCTTAAGCGACTCACTGCTTAGCAAATACTTGTTCAGAAATACGAGACCTATTGAACAAAACCTAAACAAACAACATTTTTAATGGTTTCATTTCAATCAAAGTTTGGAAAATTTGAACTTTTTTTTGGAAATTTGAATTTTTCTTTGAAAAAAATTGAAAATTTGGACAAGAAATCTGAACTATTGTAAACAATTTTCAAAATTCGTTTTAAACATACTAGTTTACCAGTATAGGAAGACGACAACGAATATTTTGACATATTTCTGCATGAGTAATTCATGTTTATGACCATTTTTCATCTTCCAACTATAATTTTTAAAGAGTGTTAAAAACAAAATCGTTCGACGCTTCGCCTGCAAAATCAAGGACCACTAATATCTAGCGTCATAGCTAGATACTATTCCTCTCATGATATAATAAATGTGATACACCACTAAACACTCGTACTCTTACATCGGAAGCTGTTTTGGATATCCATTTCTCAAGCAAAATACATAATAACAGCCAGTTACTACTAATGAATACCGCTCAGTTCCTTATGATTTTCAAATCTACAAATGTTTGGTGTTATAGAAAGATAAAACGAGTTTACTTCACTGTAAAAGATAAAATTCTTAACAAGCCTAATAACCATTAACATGAATGTTCAATGCAACAGCCCCTTAATCTAGGAACAAGAAAGATGTTTGAAAATGCTCAGAGGATAAATATATTGTCACATCTTCAGGTAGCATCCATGAAACTGAAACGAAATTTACGAATGAAATGTTTTTCCATCAATTTACATGCTGGATTCAAATCTAAACAATGCTATTTGACTAAATATGTACGATTTTCAAAGCTTCTGAACAGACAGAAATCTTCAAGAAGGGTAAATACGTTAAAAGAATTTGGTAATAACATCAATATGGATTAAATTCATGAAGCAGTACAAAAGGTTAGAGAAGTGACAATATAGACCACAAATACTGGAAAAGAATTTACAAGAACACCCAAAATGATTAATTTGAAATTAAATGAGTCATATGGACCATGAAAATGACTCTGCGACAAGTTGTCACTATTCTCCTTTTAGTAAACGATGTCCAAATATGGCGTTACCAATACGTACCGATGTACTACCCAACATTATTGCTGCTTCAAAATCGTTTGACATTCCCATCGAAAGTTCAAAATTTTCCTCATTTTCTTCTGTGAGTTCACAAAACCTAGAATGACTTGTCTAAATGATAATGTCAAAATGTTAAAACTAAAATTAAATTTAAATTAATAATTGAATTGGTTCCAACTTACGTTTTTCGTACTTTGAAAAGTTCTATAAAATCTCTGTTGGGAGTTTCCGACATATTACGAGCGAAAGAACCAATTGTCATAAAACCACTAAACTTCAGTGATGGACAGTGTACCCGGATAAACTCAGCCAATTCCACTGCCTAAAAGTCAAGCATTTTCCATTCCCGAAATAGCAAATTTTTTTTTCCAAATGTGAAAGAAGAAAATCATGAGAAGCTAGGATAAATCTGTTCTCAAATGCACTTATGAGGTTTTCAAATTCACTAACGAGCAGAATCTTACATTTCACATGACCTGAAAATAATCTTACATAACTTTGTCCCGAATCCCAAAACTGGAAAATTCTAATCATCAGGAAACAATGAAGCGGACAATAAAACAACACACCATTTCAGGCGTTGTCCCTCCCTTCTGCTTTTCCTTACTTGTATTAACTTGTACCAAAACCTTCAGTGTCCGATTATGCTTTGCAATCTCTTTTTCCAGTATAGAGGAGTGTTTCTTGTTGCAGATCGTCTCCACGCAACTCAAGTTATTGATCTCCGCTAACTTTGCAATCTATCAAGTTGAAGTACATAAGGAAAAGTGATTTACATCAAATGAACTACGGAATTTTTTCAAAAGTCTATTTCGAAAATAATTTATGAAAGCAACTCAAATTTACTCTGCAACACATACTTCTCAGTTTCTCATCGTACCAGCAATCCTGAACTGACTGTTGGAGACTTCCCTTTTTTCATAAAGTTTTAAACTGAAATTTCAAAACAGCACCTTGTTTGATTGAATTGTACCAATAAAATGCCACTGTATATTCGGACATTTTGATTTTAACGTTTTCGCTTTATCTGCAAGTTCTTGAATATAATTCTCGCCAAATTTCATTTGCCCCGCATCGTAGCAACACCTTGAAATGTCCGCTATAGTTAAGGAGAAATTAAAAGTCTTGGAAGTTATGCAAAAGTCAACTATTTCATAGTCCTTTGGTAGCACATCACTCACCTGACCTTAGTTACTATCCCGTCCTCATAGAGAATGAAGCCTGATTTTAATCCATAAGAAATTTAAAATCTGTATTTCACATGCCAGTTCAACTATTGGATCGCTGGGCTGGAAATACCGCGGTTTCTTTTTCAAGAATTAAATCTAAAGCCATGTAAAATCACACCAGGATAAATTTGCACCAGGATGCTTTTTTGTTTAGGTTGAGCGAAGAAAACCAAACTTGATTCAGATGAAGAAAGTTGACTTACTGAATGAGCGAAGATGATTTTGTCTTCGAAACAGCTATCAGTGACGGTTTTTGTCCACGCCAGTAAGGACTTTGTTCTGCTTTTTTTGATGCATTTTCGATACGTCGTAGTACGAGTTGAAGATTATCAACCAGTGCGCCACTGTTCAATTCCTCACCAATTCCACCCAAATCACGGCATAAGTCTCCCACCTGCCTCACGGCCATTGTGGAGAAACGGAAAAGATTCGTGACGATACGTACGCTGCAAATCTAACTTAAACCACACTCACACTCCCGTCATTATAATAGAGTAACCACTCGGTTTCCATCTCAAATTCTTTCATCTGGTCCGAGCCGTCGTTTTGTCATTGAAGTATGTGTTCTCTGGTCGAATGGTGTTTATGGTATTTTTCAGTTTATGCAAGGTTGTTTGTTAAATGGTGCTCAAAGGGCAGGAAGACGGAGTTCATAAAGTCAGAGTTCGCGAAAAAAGTATAAGATGGCACTTGATAATAGAATTTAAACTTAGGGATAGAAAGATTAAGTGCATCAACTTCGAGAGTCTTAGATGTTACTTGTATTTTTCGCAAATACTAGTTTTGTTGGATTTATTTGTTGGATTTACTGTGGATCTTCAGGATATTGGTCCTTGTATCCTTGTCTTCGTTATTTGTGTTGTCAGCCAATCCTACTTCTCAGGATTAATATATGCTAAATAAGCGAAAAATTAAATAGAATGATTTTCCAAAGAATTTGTGGCATATTAACGAAAAGTTATTATATGTTGAAACTTTTTCTCAGCTGACTTGGTTGTACTGTTTTACTTAGATTTTTTTTTAGTGGTGTGCTTTTCGAAAGTGATTACGCTGTAGTAAATGGGTTCGCACGAAAAACACAGTTCACGCAGCAGCCGGGATAAAATTGATTCAAAAAAACATCGTTCACCAAAACGCGAGAAAATTCGTCGCGACCGAAGTCGCTCACCGCGGGATAAACGGACGAAGGATCGCAGCAGATCACCAAGGAAAAGGGACCGAAGTCGTTCTCGGGATCGATCTGATCGTGATGGTAAAAGGGATAAAAAGAAGGATAGAGATTTGGACCTGGGTGAAATCGTTGCCATGACGGATAAGGTTTTCAATTCAATAGTTTGATGATAAAAATAATTCAAACAGAAAATTTTCACATTCCTTTTATATGGAAGTTTTTCTTATTGTAAATTGCAGAATGAAGCTGAAAGAAAATTAGAAGTTGAAATGCAAAAGCGTCGTGAAAGAATTGAAAAGTGGCGCTTGGAACGGAAGAAAGGGGAAGTAACGGCAAGCGATGAAGGTACTTCGAAAGTAGAGGGGCGGCAGCAACAGGAGAAGAAATGGACATTGGATAACGAAGAAGAAGACGAAGAAAGTACGCCACAGGAAATTGAAAAGTAACATTCTCTGTTTATCGGTTTAGAAACTGATTTTTTTCTGTTTTTTATCCGTTTACATCTTTTTGATTGATTATTTTGGCTTGCAGTTGCAGTGAATTTTTGATAATCTTCCTTTGTTATGCAAAAGCAATTATACGTCAGTTTTTATTCTGAAATATTCCGAAATTAGTTGACATGCATGCACTCTTTAAAAAGCAACGCAAGTTATTTTTTGTGACGTTTCTAATGAAGTGAATTTCGGAGTATGTGTTTGCAGAAAAGAGTCAGATGATGATGAAATTGATCCACTGGATGCCTTTATGTCTGAAGTCAATAAAGAAGTCCGTGCCTCGAAATATGGACTAGAGCAGGTGAAAAAACATTATGCAGTGGTTGAGACCAAATTTATAAGCCAGAAATTTTTCCACTGTACTTTTTTTCCAGAATAATGAGGGGAAAGTCCGCATAGTTGTCATCAAGTCAGATGCAAATTTAGAACCGAAGAAGGGCGAAATCATCGAAGCAGAAGACGAAATCGAGGTACATCATAAATTTTATTTATTGTCACAGAATTTAGTTGTTATTCCAACGGAATAAGCTAATCAGTGTTACTTTTGAGAGATGATAGATCATTCATCAGATAATGCGTTGTCCTTTATCTACTTTATCGATTACTATTTTATCATTCATCAGATAATGTCCTTTATCTATTTTATCGATTACTATTTTTAGCCTGTTATTGACGACTTCGATATTGAGAAAGCAGCTTCATCATTAATTGCGAAGGGAAGGCAGTTACCGCAGACTGACCATTCTAAGGCAACTATATTTCAGGATCTTTGTTGTATTTGATTAGAAAGATGTTAGAACTAATTCTGTAAATTATCGATATGTCAATTTCTTTGACTCTCAGAAACGTCTTTGTTCATGCTCATTCTTTTCTATATAAAGTAAGGCTTTATTTTTACGACCAGTAGCACAGCATTTAGCAGCATTTTACATGTCTTTTCTTTTCAAAGGTGTATTACCGCCCTTTCCGTAAGAATTTTTATGTGGAAACTGCTGAACTGGCGAAAATAACGAAGAAAGAAGTAGATGAGTACCGAGAAGAACTGGATATACGTGTGAGGGGTAAAAATTGTCCAAAACCTGTCCGATCATGGGCTCAATGTGGTGTCGAGTGGAAAATTTTAAGTACTTTAAAAAAGTTAGCTTTTTAATGATTTGTACTGTTTTCGCTTAAGGCGAGTAATTTTTCTGCGAATAAAAATTAGCGAGAAAGGTGAGAATTTGTGAAGATTTGTTGATGTTTGATATTTAGGCTAGAATACAAGAAACCGACACCAATCCAATCTCAAGCAATTCCGGCAATAATCAGTGGTCGTGATGTCATTGGTATTGCTAAAACTGGTAGTGGTAAAACACTTGCCTTCTTGCTACCAATGTTTAGACACATACTAGACCAACCAGAACTGGAAGAAATGGATGGTCCTATTGGTACTTTTTACAGAAATGATCCAAATTCTGTAGTATATTTGCTGTATTTTACGATTAGAAACGGCCATCATCATCGCAATTTCTAATATTCATTGGAACTTATGTAGTTGTAACTTTCCAGCTGTAATAATGTCACCGACACGGGAGCTTGCTATGCAGACGTGGAAGGAAGCTAATAAGTTCGCTAAACAGCTAGATATCCGTGTTGCATGTGTTTACGGTGGTGTCGGAATATCTGATCAAATAGGAGATTTGAAACGGGGGGCCGAAGTTGTTGTGTGTACTGTTGGACGTCTTACGGATATGCTTGCTGCGAATAAAGGTTTGAATTATTTTCTTCAATCATTCGACCAGTGGTTTGCAAATTTAAGTTCCTTATTTGTTTTATTCGTTATAATCCTTCAACTGTATTTTTTCTTATGGATAAATTTTTCTGTCCCTATCTTGATTTTTGATTAAATTTTTGAGGTAAAGTAACAAATTTGCGACGGGTAACATATCTCGTACTTGATGAGGCAGACAGAATGTTCGATATGGGATTCGAGCCACAAGTGATGAAAATTGTAAATAATATACGCCCCGATAGACAGACAGTTCTGTTCTCTGCAACATTTCCGCGGCAAATGGAGGCACTTGCAAGAAAGATTTTGGATAAGCCAATTGAAATAATGGTGCATAATTTTTTTAGATGTTTATGGATTTGCAAGTTGTTCAGCTCAACCTATTTTGCTTCAGATCTTAATTTAATTTGAAATCAAGTTATATTTCTAGGTAGGAGGCAAAAGCGTTGTTTGTGACGATGTAAATCAAAATGTTGTAATTCTGGAAGAACATCAAAAAATGCTAAAACTTTTGGAATTACTCGGTGTTTACTGGGAAAATGGGAATGTCTTGGTGTTTGTTGACAAACAAGAGAAAGCAGATGATCTGGTCACACAACTAATGCGCAGTGGCTATAACTGCGCCCCATTACATGGTGGCATTGATCAGTTCGATCGTGACTCAACAATACTTGACTATAAAGCCGGTAAAATTAAACTCCTAGTAAGTCTCATTTATTTTCCTTCTCATGCACTATTTCTTTTCTCTCTTTAAAGATTGGATTCGTAAACGTTGGAAGTTTTGAAAATTAAAATTCCTATTTGATACCGCTTCATGACTATCCCTTTATAGGTGGCAACATCAGTGGCTGCACGTGGGTTAGATATCAAGAAACTGATCCTTGTGGTCAATTATGATTGTCCAAATCATTATGAGGACTATGTGCATCGTGTTGGTAGAACAGGAAGAGCAGGCAATAAAGGATATGCTTACACTTTCATTTTACCAACCGGTAATTCATTAGCTACAAATCGCTGACCAGGTTTTTACTTTGAGACTTGTCTCCTTTATCCCATCAGTTACAGGGCAGGAACGCATGGCAGGCGAAGTATGTCGAGCTTTCGAAACAGCTGGGAAGGAACCACCAGAGCAACTGAAAAAGATGTGGGAGGACTATAAGGCACATATGGCAGCAGAGGGAAAAACTGTCCATATTGGTGGTTGTGGATTTTCTGGAAGTGGTTACAAATATGATCAGGTAACTTTTGAATGGATTTTTGGGAACAATCATATATTAGATATAATAACGTGCACTCCATCTATACTCTCTCAATATATCAATATACGTGTAAAATTTTTTTTTCTTCCTTTTTTTCTTGCAGGCCGAAGATGAGAAGGAAGCAACGCGAAGAAAAGTTACGCGTTTAATGCATGGCATGGAAAATGCTGTAGATGATGATGATGATGATGAGATTGAGCAACAGCTTAGTAGTATGATGAAGGGCAAAAGACGTATCGTCGAGGGTCACACTTTTGGTGGTGCATCCTCAGGCGCAGGAGTTGCAGGAGACAAATTAGAGAAGGTATTAGTTTTTCCCTGATTTTTCCCGATGTTTTTTAGTCAATAAATTCATGTTTTTTCCAATGTACACTTTTGTATAGAAAATTTTTCCTTTGTAGGCGCGAGCGATGGCAGCAAAGATTGCTGAAGCAAAACAGCTTGGGGTTACCGCACCAGTCGAAAAAGATGCTGCCTCGTTGACAGCCGAGGCTGTCATGCGTGGTAGTGATGCGGTACCGATAGCATTATCGGTTAGTTATATTACTTTGAATGTGTGTTTATAGGAAGATTTATCTCAAATTTTCTGTTAGATTTGGTATTTATGCATTGCTTGAACTTCAACTGTATTATTAGTCATCGAAAATTTTGATTTGATGGTACAGATTTTCTTGCTCCTTTGTTTCTGTTTCAGGCGAAATCGATAGCGAAGCAAAAAGCAGAGCAGTTGAATGAACGCTTAAATTATATTCCGTCAGAGTTAATTCCAGGAGTCGAAACAGAAACGGAATTGCAATACTTTGAAGAGGAAATTGAAATTAATGATTTCCCGCAGCAAATTCGTTATAAAATATGTTCCAGGGTAAAATTTTTCTATTGTAATCCTTTTTCTAAGTAAAATTCAAATGACTGCTTTTGGTGATAGTTTTAATGTGGATTGTGTAAATGTGTGGTTCTAAATCGTCGAATTTGAAAAGAAGTGAGAGAAGACCGTTTGGAGAATTTTTGACAAAAAAGTTTCCATCTTCTAATTTCTTGAGGTAGTTTTGTTATACATGCAAAAAGTATGATTTCGCTTATTGAAACTGCTCGGATAAGTATTTCAGGATAGTTTAGCTCAGGTGCAAGAATATGCTGACGTCGGGATTTCTGTGAAAGGATCTTATTACCCAGGTAATAAGGAGCCAAAAGATGGTGAGAGGAAGCTGTTCCTATTTTTGGAAGCACGGTCTGAGCTTGCATTACGGCGTGCGCGTGAAGAAATTTTAAGGATCATGAAGGATACAGTACGGCAAATGGTGATTTTTTTTTGACAGATTAATGATTGCAGTTCAGTATGATTGTGAGCATTCTATTAGCATTATTATTCATTAAAATTATTGATTTGACAAATTACTGATAGGTAATGCTTGACAGTTCAGCAGACTCATACCTAAATTCACGTTATTTTCAGGCGCAAACAGGTACACGAAATGCTTCAACAACAGGAAGATACAAAGTTTTTTAAAATGTTAAATGAATTTATGTTTTCCGCACCGTTTACATTTGCAACCGTTTCATTCTATTGAATTAAATTCTTAAAGAATTATGTACGTAGTGAAAAACGAGAAACTTATAAGTAGATGATAAAAAGTAATATGGAGCGTATGAAGCTGCACATAAAACAAGTGAAAACTAGATGGAAAAAAAAAAGCAAATCCGTCCTTTATAACAGTGCGCTTTCGAGTTCATTATTTTAAGCACCTATATTTTCCGACTTAGTTCGAAATTTTGATTCGTCTTGTCCTGTAAATATTCGAAATTATTAGCTGTCGTTTATTTTACTAAATCCTATTTTTTCTGTGCATGCCTGTTGTATTTATTAAACTCTGGTTGTTAAACATGAATTGTTTAATCTTTGGTGCTTATATTTGCAAACAATATTGCGTTCAAATGTGAAACTGATGTTGTGAAGAGTGGAATGAGAAGAGCGCAGCCGACGAATAATCTAATAGGTCTTCTAGTTTTTTGCATCCTTTATCTTCCCAGAATGCACTGGGATTTTAATCTTCATTGGCTTAAGTTTTTTCTTTATCTGTTCTTTGCCTGAAACATTTTGGAAATCGCTGTAGCGTAGAAACCTGTTTTTTATTTTTTCATAATTCTAAAGTTATAGATATGTCTAGGGCGAGACAACTGGCGCAGAGAATAGACCCTTGAGTTTTGACTTGAAATTATACTTTTGTTCTTAATATCACTAAGCCTGTTCGCTTGTAGTGCAACTGCTTACCTCAGGGACGGAAATAGTCATCGACGAACTAGCAGAGTTAGACAACTGACAACCAGTTGATAGCGCTTAATCGGCCTCGCCTCCCTGCTCTAACTGCTGCTACTATATTCACAATCGTAGTAGTGCCCAAATCCTACTAGAGTGGAAAATGTTAGCTTCGGATATGACGTCTCGATCGTCCACTGATCCAACTTTTCCACAAAAGGGCACCATCAGAAAGGAGAAGAAGGTTAGGGAAATTTGATTTCTGTTGCTATGATTTCTTTTGTGATAGTGATGCTTCTGAAGAAAAACACTGATTGGGTATTTTTCCAAATAAAGCAGTTAGGTTATTTAGTTTGTTTACAGGAAGAAAAGAAGTTTAGCCTCATTCCTTGTGAAGGATGGATGAAGGTGGATTTTGCTTGGATAGGACAGTGGAAGATTACTTCATCTTTGATTTGTGTTCGGAATGCTGTCAGACTTATTTGTCTGCTTCCGCATTTTTACTTTTTTAGCTATTAATGTATAGATTATCAATACTTCCTTGATGTAGTACTCGTAACAAGCGACTAGGAACTGTGAAAATTTGGTTCTAGGATGAATCATTTTTTGAAAAGTTGGGGACTCTTGGAAGAAAAAAGAAATCGCAACAAGTGGAACAAGAAGCTGAAAATGAAGCTATTGAAGTAAGTTTTCCTTTTTTAGGTATCGCTGGATTTATTAGACTCTCACTTTTTATGATTTGAAATCTATCGAGTATCGAATGCTAGAATTTAGTGAGTTCGGAATCCCATCATGACTAAGTAAGTGAAGAACCTCAGAGCATTCATATACGTGAAATGGAATATAGCAGATGAATTCGAGTCGGTTTGATTAGATTCACTGAATTTTGAAGTATTTCTGAAAATAATACGCCACCTTGTGTGACAGCATGGAATGTAATGTTTTGATAGGGGAATGAAGAAAACGAATGTTTGGTGAGGGTCTTAACTAGCTGCAGCATATACTGACAAAAAATCATTGGACTACAAGATGCTAAGGGCATTGCTGCAAGATCGTATGGTAAGGGTTTACGAGAATAAAGAAAGCTAGTAGATGGAGTAGATTGTTTTTTGATAGTATCCATATTTGTAGAAAGGGTGTGGAAAAAAATGGGTCTTAACATGCAGTTGTAGCACAGGATCTAGATGCACTAAAAGTAGGCATGAAAAATCGATGAAATTTTTGCCGCTTTGAATTGTCTTTATTTTTTTATCCATTTTTGCTGTTTATTTTTTGTGGTTTTCTTCAGTTTTTTAATTGTAGCTTAACAGGCTTAACATTTGAAATTTTTCAGGTTGAAACAGAAGGAGCAAACGCAATTGATTCTACAGTTATCCCGGTTTCAGCGACTCTGCAGAATATTATGCTTGAAGAGGGTAGGTGTATAAGGCATTCCCGGATCTCTAAGTGTTCCTGAGTGCAGCATTCCTAAGTGCATAAATATTGCCAAGCAACGCATGCTGCTTTTCTTACTTTTCAATCAATTGATGAAGTTAAACAACTGAGTTTATGGGTACATCATTGTCCGATGTATGAAGCATATTTGTGAAGTGATTCAGTTTGAAATACCATAGTTCATGTGGAACTTTTTCCGTATTCACAGCTACCGGTGGGACATTGAGAGAGGAGCTAAAAGTGTGCAAGTGGGATCTATCCTAGTCAGGAAGTTAGCTGAAGCAGTTTGTAGTTTTTGTAGTCTTATAATATTTCTGCATAGTTTGCACACTTTTTTGAGAAATTACCCCTGTATAAAAAAACTTGTGTAGAATTCAAATATTATGCAGAATTGGAATTTTCTCCCTAGGTGAAGAAAAAAGACTGCTGACCATGGAATCCCGTGACGACCCACGTGTACAGGAAGTAATACAGCTTTTGATTCACTGGCTGAACTATGAATTGGCTTCGCAAAGAATCGTTGTGAAACACATACAGGAAGATTTATATGACGGTCAGATCATACAGAAAATTACTGAAAAACTGGCTAATATCAAGGTCTGTATCGTTTGTTAGAAGCGTATGTTATGTGTATATTCGTTATTTTGTGATATATCTGGTTTGGAACCAGCGATTTTTTCAGATTTCTTGCCTGGTTGTTTGGTTCTTGAATTAATTTCTGCTTTCCTTATCCTACATGATTACTGGATAACTAATTAAGTTTGTTGAAGTGATGTGATTCGTCTAGATTGAAGTACCTGAGGTATCGCAAAGTGAGGAAGGACAGCGGCAAAAATTGCACAAAGTGATTGAGACTGTTAATCGCATCATCGCTCAAGGACAGTATGAAAAAGCAAAGTGGAATGCTGATCTTATTCACAATAAAGTACTGGTTGTTTTCAGTGCATTCTTCTCTTTATCTTTATGCGATCTTTTCATCTTTATCATAGCACTGTTGTTTGAAATCATCGATGTCAAATGAAATTCGTGACGGGGTACCTTCCGAGTTGTTCGGATAACATGAATTATGGTGAATCATCATCTGCATGAGATACAAGTGGTATTTACGTAGCTAGATGTAAAGTTTCAAGTTATTTAGGGGAACAGCTGGCTTTCTTAAATTGCCAAGGAGCTCAAGTTATAGAATTCTGTAGAAGGGAGGTGGAAGAATGGAATCTTTTTCATCCCTCTGTTTCGAAATTTTATTTGTATGATTCTTTTTATGTATTCAGAATTCCCCGTCCATTTTGTTATCATCTTCATTATAGGTGGTTTGATTATTTTTATTTTAAGCTTGATTTTTTAGGGTTTGCTTTTTTTTAGGGTCTACGCATTTAGATGATTATTGCAGGATACAGTAGCAATTATACAGCTGTTGGTTGCGATTGCCATATACTTCCGTGCTCCTGTTAGATTTCCGGAATATGTGAATGCACAGATCCTCATTATACAGAAAAAAGACAATCAGCTGAAGAGCCGTTATATCACCGAGCAGCTTACAACAACACAGCCAGAACTGGGTGTCAAGGTCAATTAGCGCATTTCATTATGCTGTTAGATCGAAAGTATCTACCTATTTAAAAAGTCTCAGACTTATCACTGCCAACAATATTCATTTTTGCTTTAATTCAAATGGAAGACAGTTTATATTTTCAGGGTGAGAGAGATGCTTTCGATACTCTGTTCGACTATGGACCTGACAAACTGGCTCATGTAAAGAGTTCACTCTTGGCTTTCTGTAATAAACATCTTAACAAAATTAATTTAGAAGTGACGGATCTGGAGAATCAATTCAAGGATGGCGTTTATTTGGTGCTTTTGATGGGTTTATTGGAGGGATATTTTGTTCCGCTTTACAGTTTCGATTTGCAGGTACTCAAACACTTTTGTTTGAAGTAGTCATGTTGTTGATAAAGGGAAGATCAAACTATAAAAATCGTTTGACCTGACCCGGTCAATATGTGAGCACCACGCCTTGAGTTATTTGAAATTCGGGTATTCAGTCGTCTTTCTGTGATCGATTTCACATACGATAATGATTGGTTTTTTAGGCATTAACATACGAGCAGAAAATACATAACGTTACGTTCGCGTATCAGCTGATGTATGAAGCCGATTTGCAACGACCACGCGCGAGAGTGCAGGATATTGTAAACGGTGATTTAAAAAGTACGCTGCGTATTCTTCATTCGTTATTTACACGATATAAACATGTATAGTTTTAATGACCCTACAAGTACGATTGGTAATTTCATCTGGAATTCATACCTTATAAATTACTGCCAAATGTTTATAAAATTCTACTTAGCTACAAAATGGTTGTTTTACAGTTTGAACATCAGAGTATTCATAAAGTTTTTCCGCCACATCTAATGCCATACCATCTTTCAAATGATCAGCGATAATCTGCACGCTAATTGGAAATCCATCTGCCGTTCTCGTGAATGGTACTGAAATTGCTGGAACACCCGCCATATTACAGGGTTGTGTGTAAAAATCGTCTTGACATTCTCGTTTGTAACCATCGATGTCGCTAATTTCGGAAAACAGTGGCGGTATACCGCATGTCACCGGAGTTAACAGAACATCACATCCTTCCTTGCGAAAGACGCGGTCGAAATCCATTTTGATCAGACGCCTCACACGAAGAGCTTGCCCAAAATATACATCGTAATGGCTATAATTATTCTGTTTAAATGAAAGAGAAACAGCTCTGCAAAAACTTCAAATTACTTTGAATTCTAATCCCCGCTAATTCCCACATGTGGTATATCGCCGTTGTTTCCCGAAGTTAGCGACATCAATGGTTACAAACGAGAATGTCAAGACGATTTCGGACGTGGAAATCTCGAAGAATGGGACTTGCAACGCTTGCACATTGTCAATGCAAGGTAGATCATATATCCTAAAGGCACCAGTCTACTAACATGTTGTGCGCATCAGAAAGTTCAATGCACTGAATAACCTGACGGTCCCAATATGATTCAGGCAATTCATTTCCCAAGTTGTTTTTAGTAAAATTGAATTTAAGCAAATTTACTTGGAGCTATACCATTTCATCAAGAAATAATTCCCTGCGAATATTCTCCTACGGACAACTTCATTGAGTGATTCGCTTCGAGTGGCGGAATATAGCATGAAAGTTGATCTGTCGCAGCTTGACCTGTGGCCATATTTGACCCCATCGTATCTGAAAGAAGATAATACGGAAATTGTACCTTATATCGACTTCCTTATAATTTCATATTTCTGGATTAATTTTCGTGAAATATAAATTTCAGCTCCCACGTTTTACAAAATATAAATTTCACCTTGCCATATTTGATGTGATGTCCGCTTCGGCAAGCACATGATAACAAATTATAGAGTAAGTTGTAGACGGCATGCTCACTTCTTTAATCTTGCAACCCAACGCAGACAGAGTTTTTGCCGCTTCATTCCACCCTTTCCAGCATTCACTTGATAACGTTTCATTGTAATACTCCTACTGATGAGAACGGTAAAATCAACTAAGGATATAAAAGCTCGAAAAACAAAATTAGAAATTGTGTTATTTACTTGTGAAAGGATAAACTGTACATAATTTACGTGAGAACTCTGGAACTGTGCGAAATCTTTAGGGAAGTCCTATAAAGTTATTAGTGACTGCTTCTATCATCTACCTTGGGAATGCCGACAATTACTCCACCAACTGGTCTTCCTTGCATAAAACAGGATGACGGAGCATCAATGCAGGTCGGGTCGAATGCATCTCGACCATTCATTACCTCTGGAAAACCATAAAAATTGTGTTCTCCTAAATGAAACGTTTATGAAGTTCGTTACAGCGACATGAACCAGTCCAAACTGGACGGAAAAATTTAACTGGTGACATTACAAACCTATTCCAGACACCCCATGTATACGAATGAGATTCAACCACCTTAGGCTACGACTGCACTAACTAATCACTGATAATTTATTGCAAGCTGTGAAAGTCAATGTAATATATCTAATAAATGGCGAAGTTTTTGTAAAAACGAAATCCTTACGAAGTAAGAAGTTGCAATCCCTAGCAGTCCTAGCAATTACTGATGGGCAATCAAGTGAATTAACCAAGGGGATGAGCCCATATCTTGATAAGATTCCATAGGAAGGCTTGAAGCCAAAAAGTCCAGTGAATGCTGCTGGGTTCCGTGACGAACCACCAGTATCCGACCCCAAACTTCTGTAATATTTTCATTTCAATATATCTTAAACTAAGTGGCGACGTGAGTATAAAAATGAAAAAAATCGAACTGAAATTTGATGCTTAAAATACCAACACTGATGAAATGCCCAGTTGTACTGCTACACCACAACCGCCAGAAGATCCACCAGGACTTCGCCAATCAGTTTCAAGACTTGCTTCGTCACTTAATCCATTTTTTACTGGTCCAAAATGACTCTTCGAACTTGACGTTCCCATACAAAACTCATCCATATTAGCTTTCCCAATCAAGCAACCACCTGAAAAACAGTTTTTTCCAGTTAATTCAATCAAGATTCCGAATACTGCCACAAATAAATAAATTACCCTCTTCAAATAATCTACTGACAATAGTGGCAGTGTATGGTGCAATATAATTTGCCAGATTTCGTGACGCGCATGTTGTTCGGACTTTTCTTGTCCTAAAATTACGATGTAAATGCAATTTCAATATTTTAAAAAGTGCGAAAATACTGTAATATGACCTACAACAGAACTAAATTCCAGGAATTCTGCACAGTCTCCAAACAACTTTGCCGAAAGAATACCATTCAGCATTCATTCCGCCTATAAGGATAACTTTTCAATAATGTCTCCTTAAACAATGTGAAACCGTATTACCCTGAACCGTTACAAAAAGATTGACACCTCAGGCAACATCATTCAACAGTAAAATGGTGTGCATATTTCAGAATAAGGCTCGCAAAACATGGATGATTTCTTTTTTTTTCTTTTAAAAATATACATATAGCAATCTTTGACAACCACAGGGAAAGGAGTTTTCCCTTTCTTTAATGCCTCTTTTGCCTGAACACACGCCAGATCGAAAGTTTCTGTGATCAAAGAGTTGAATTTCCGATATCTGACGGCTTTAAAAATAGCCTCCTCGATACATTCCATTTGTGAGGTCCTGCAAAAAACCGAAGAATTAAATTGTGTTCAATGTTTTACGTCAAACTTGCACAATACAGTACCCACAGCGAATATTTCATTGTCTATAAATCATTCTCCTCAACATCATTTACCATACACTAACTTTATGTCTTCAAATTCCAGTTCAGCAGGTAAAGACTGAGAAAAACAGGCTATCGACTTAAATCGCATCTCAAGGAATCACAAGAATCCCTAAAGTGCCACCCGCGTTGTTGTGGTTTGAATAATTGCACAGTGAGCTTAAAGTTCATGGAGCTTAAAGTTCGTTCCGATATATGTCAGATTAGGCGTGAGTCGACAAGTTTTCACCCTTATCTTACCCGTCTTGTCAATGGTAAAATCCTCAGGCATTAGGCTGGTGTTGAGCTGAGTGAATTCACGTGTTTAATAGTGAGAACTGGAGGAGCAACTGGCTAGAATTTACTTTCATCTGGGATCTTTTTTATAGTGAATTTCAATAAGGCGTATTGAAACGAAATTATATATAACAAATGGAGAAAAAAGTGGAACTATGTACGTAGTCGAATTGCATACATATGTACATAGCGCATACAAAAATGGAATTAGGTACATAGTTATAGTCTAAAAACAAGAAAATTGTTGGGAACTGAAGCAGCTTCGTCTACACATGTTATGTCGCTTTTAGTTTTCTGCATAGACATCCATTACTTTATGTTTTATATTGTTTTTCTTCTTGGTCTGAACTCTGCACAGCACTTTTTCTTTTAAGACTGTTTGGTTTATGTTATTAAAAATTGATGGTGTGCGACTCTATGCTGGGCACAAGTCTACAGTTCTCGTAAAAACCGTTTAACGTTTCATTTTTATCAACTTGATGTTCAAGTTCTAACAACTCCCTAAAGATGTTTTCGTAGAATTTCTTAACCATCTTAGAAGTCATGTGAAAGCAAACCCAAGATGGACTACGGTCACATCTTTTTCTTCTGTGACATGCAAGAATGCCTGGTATAATTTCGTGATTGCATTTTGCGCTTACTTAATTCTCTACTCTAGTTTTATTCCAAACATGCAAGTCGTAAGAATTTTTTAACTAAGAGAGAATCTTTTTTTTTTCACGAATTAATGTACTTACAGCAACATTCTTTGACTTTTAAACTTATTTCATAGATAGGAACAAAGGTTTTGTCTTGTCTTCTTACCTCTGACACATCTGTTTCATTTTTTGGTAAGAGACTGACCGAAATTTTGAAATGGCCTTCAACTTGAGACATACATTCTGGGTTTTTGATATTCTAGGATGGCTTACATGTTGGAAGGTTGATGCGAAGCTTGAAGATACATTGAGGCGGCAGGAACAGTTGTTTCTAATTGTATGCTTATTAGTATATCCATTTGAAAATAGCGATTTTTGAAAATTTTGAATCACCTAGAACGGCGCTACAGCAAAGCAGAGGCATTATCTTGAACCTATATATATATATATATATATATATATATATAT